CACAACAAATTTTCGAAAGATATTCATATTTCAACTTTGCTATTGATACAATAATAATAATAATAATAATAATAATAATAAATTAGTATTTCTTTGAAGTAATAGAATATTCTGTATGAACCTAATCTAATCGTCTATTTGGAATTTGGTTCAAAATTTCTCCGTATAGTAAAGTCCACCTAAAAACCTATAACGTACCGTAGCAAAGCGCGGGCAACACCTAGTATGTTATGGTTTTAGAGAAGAGGAAATGAAAGGTGAAGACGCCATCTATATGGGGAATCGACATAATTCCTTTCCTATGGGTGACTTTCTCATTATATATTGAAAGTTGCATTGTACAATTAATAAAAACAAACTAGCAACTTAAACCTACCAACATCAACACGCAAAGTAGCAAATGAATACTAATTACAACAAATAATTGCATAAAAGTTGAACCACAATGAATTGGCCCGGTTCAAGTGAAAGGAATTTTGAATCAGACATCTTTATTTTGTTTGAATCCAAATGCATCAAGGATTTCAGTGGCTGCCTTCTACTATCTTCAATCATTTAAGCACAATCATAGTATTCATCACAATCACACGCCCCTCAAGCTGGCGAGCACATGTTGTGCTTGTGCACTGCCAACTTGGATAAAAAATAATCGCATCTATCCAAACAAGCTTTTGTATATAGATATGCAATTTATTCTTTTGTATTGATGTCAGACAACCTTAGTTTCCCTAATTTTAGTCTTTCACAAATCACAAGACAATCGACTTTTATATGCTTTGTGCGTTCGTGAAAGATTGAATTTCCAACAATATATATTTTTTTACTAATTCTCACAAAATACTTGTACAAGTTTTGGATGAGAAATTCTATTAAATGCAATGATTTTAACCATTGTACCAATCTCGAGATTTTTGCAATGCCCTATGTTTTGCTTCTCATGAAGAACATGAAATTGTATAATGATTCTTGCTCTTCCAAGTTCTTCATGAATCCCCCAAAAAGGTGTACTAGCTAGTGACAGATTTCCATATATCAGAGCATGTGGCCCAGTCTAAATCATAGTATCATCTCAATGTGAGTCATGAGTTGTAGAGAACCACAAACCTTGATTTGGACTACCTTCCAGGTATCTTAGGATTCGATGAAGTCATTTCACATGTGTTCTAGTCGGATTAGCTTGAAATTGCATAATAGTTGGACATGAAAGGTATTGTCTAGTCTTGTCGAAGTCAAGTACTGAAGTTAACCAAGCAAATTTCTTAAATGAGTCTCATCTTCTAGTGGAATTCCAATTGAAGCAAAGTACATAGTCTTCATGCTAAGTGGAGTTTTTGAAGGTTTGTTTTCTAAGAAGTCTGCATTGACCAATAGCTCTAGACATAACTTTTTATTATTAAGTGAAATGCCCTCCTTATTTGTTGCTACTTCCAATCGCAAGAAGTACTTCATATTTACTAGATGCTTGATCTTAAATCCTTCTTCTAATTATTATTTGACCACCTCAATTTCTTTCATGCTAGGACCTGCTAGTAGATAATCTCCATATGCAATGAAAACCCCTTAAAAAAAAATTGAATATAGAACAATTCTCCTATGACTGTCAAAATCCTATACTCGTAAAAAAACCCATAGAGTTCAATGAACCACTTTCTGCTAGCCTGCTTGAGCCCATACAAAGACATTTCAAGCTTGCTTACCTTCCCTTCCATGTGACTTTGCTCCCTCAAATCCTCAGACAACTCCATATGGACCTCCTCACCTAAATAACCATGCAAGAATGCAATACACACATTCATTTGATGACATGATAAGAGTTTATCGTATGGTGTATCGATATCCAAACAAATATAGCGGGTCGTTGTGGTATGAGGAATTTCTCATGACCACTCGGGAGGACGTAGATGCCATGGTCGAATTTTTGATCGCCAATAACATTAAGCAAGCATAGGTGTTTGTTTACACCGAGACGGTCGAATGCGGTGGAGGTAATTCTGGAGATGGCCACTAGAGAGTAAGTGTCCATGAAATAAATTCCATAAGTCTGTTGATATCCCTTGTCAATTAATATTGCCTTGTATTTATCTACTGATCCATCAACATTGTATTTTCTTAAAGATCCATTTATTAACGAGAGGATGGCCAATAATACTCCATGTCCCATTCTCTTCAGAAACATATAATTCTTTCCTTGTTATTTTTCTCCAATAATGTTCTGTGATAGCCTGAGAGTAGCTCCAAGGATCAGGGCAAAGAGAAATAGAAAGTGTGTATAGTTGATGATTTGGGGAAGATAGGAGTAATCAAGACGGTGTGATATAGGATAATGGAGTTTTGAGTTAGAATTTCCAATGTTGGGGGTAGTTATCAAGGTTTTATGTAAATTCTTTAAGTAATCAGGTTGTAGAGAAATTTTGTCCTAGCTTCGGAGCACTGGTGGTGGAGTGACCTGGCTTGAAGAAGATGCTATAGAAGAAGAAGAAGATAGGGGAAGAAGTTCGTGATGTAGGAATGAAAGATGTTGATTTATTAGGCAAAGAAGGAATATATGAATTTGAAAGGTTATAGTCTGAGTATGTTGTCTCATGAACATTGTGATCTGAAGGTAAAATGAAGTAAGATGAATATGGTAAAACAGTAACCACATGATTGTCATTTGTAGAGTTTCTCATGGAAATACTCTCAGCTTCCTTGAAAGGAAATGCATTTCCATAGAATTTAACATCTCTTCTAATGAAAACTTTAATTCCAAAGTTGCAGCGTAGAAATAATGCTTTTCTAACTATTGAAACACTTTTAGGCTGCTATAATAAGGAGGAATCCCATAGAGACATTCAAATGAAGTTTTTTTCTTCTTCTTCAAAACAGGTGTAGGAGTTCTTGGTAAAAAGCATGCAAAACCAAATTACTATAGAAGTTAGTTGGAACTCCTGACTACAATTTCATGGCTTTTTCAACATTTAGCAAATGCTTATATTTATGTTATACTCTTCCATTATGTTGTGCATTCCTTGCACAACTCATTTCATGCACAATCCCAGCATTTGATAAATTTTGGGAATTTTAAATTCTTGCCGCTAATCAAATCGAATGAATCTCATTTTCCTATCAAACTGAGTTTCGTCCATAATGTGAAAAGATTTCAACAAATCTCTTCCCTCAGACTTGTTTCTCATAATAAAAAATAACTAGTCATGTGGTATACTATAATACAATCATCAACATCTGTAACCATAATGAGAGACTAATTATAAAAACCATTAAAGGGTCGTTAGCTTGATGAATTTGATTATGAGGCAACAAATCTCATTGTCCAAAAACCATTGTTTGCTTCATATATTTAGGGGCAACAAATCCATGGGTCACACAAACTTTAAGGGTCCAAATTTGTGGACCCCACGTACTTGAAAGTTCCACCTAGAGGTGAATAAGCATAGGCTAACTCTATGCCAACAGCCACGGTAATACAGAGCATGCAAGCGTTATCCGAAATGATTGGGGTAAAGCGTATGGAGAATTAATCATAGACTTTGAAGTCCATCATTCAAGACCAAACTACCCCTCTTATTTAATTTCTCTTCTCATACCAATGAGTGCAATAAAGGTAGATTTCACTTTATACATACAAATCTAATTAACAAATTTCATTATGAAATCTACGAAAAAAACAAATCCATGATTTTACAAAACCCAAAATTTACCAAAACCTTCTTTTTCAAAATTCAAGATTAGTGAGAGTTTCAAAAATATGAACAAAATTTATCTATCTTCAAAATTAATTAAAAACAATCACAAGAGTACTACTACTACTACTACTACTACTACAAGAAACACATGATATTTGATTATCCTTAAACTCCAAACATGTCATTCAAATCCTTGTGATTTTTTTTAAACATCTCACCAATTTATGAGTGATTTTGTCATATTTTGCGATTAATATATTAAATGGAACGGGTCTAACGAGTCGACCCGCTAACCCTCCCAACCTGACCCAAAAAATCACGAGTAATCGAGTTCGGATCATTCGGATTTTGAGTTACAAAAAAATCTAGCTTTCGGGCGGTTTCAGGTCGGGTCAACTAGGGGTGTTCAAACGGTTTGGTTACCATGGTAACCGTTTTAACCGGTATTATTTGGATAATTTGGTTCGGTTAATTTGGATAATTGGTTTGGTTTGGTTAAAGTTTTTAACTTGTTTGGTTTAGGTGGTTTGGTTTGGTTTGGTTTCAGACACTTCTAACCAGTCAAACCAAATTAATCAGTTAAGTAATTAGTCATATATCTAACATATATTATATACACATACTTAATACTTTGCATAACCATTCAAGAGTTAACGTTCATCTCTTTTAGACTCATAAAATATAATGCTCAATATTGCTCATATAGTGTATATTTGTATATGTAAAATGTAGACCACAACATATAGACGCATAATTTAGATAAATGTCATACATTATGATGGATGGAAACTTGAAATGAATGTCATTTCCAGCCTATGATAATTGCTAAGAGAATAAGTCAATTTACACAAACACAACAATTCATTAATCCATACCATTGTCATAAATTTTTGTTAGGTGAATACTTCTATACTAATCGTAAGATAATTGTCTTAGTTGCATGTATTTTTATTAAGGGTCAACTATAACTATGTGTTGATTGTTATGTTTTATTCATTATATAAATTGCGAATTGTTGCATTAACCGGAAAATTTTCATCGTCAATGATAATGTGATTTTATATTGGTTAATCTGGTTAACCAATAAACCAAACCGATCAAACTTTAGTTTGGTTAATTTGGTTGTTGTATTAGTTTGGACGGTTTGGTTATGATATTGTATTCCATGGTTAATGGAATTTAACCTTATTTGATTTGATTATAACCATGGTAACCATTTGAACACCCTTAGGGTCAACGGGTCAGGTTGTAATTTGCCAGGTCTAGGCCAAACAGTAACCTTTTTCTCCTATAAAACAGAAGACCTCTTCTTTTCTTCAGCTTCTTCCCAAGACATTCTCCCCTTTACATAGACAGAGCTCGAGAGATACCGGAACAAATATGAAATGACCACTACTCTTCTTCCTCTTTAACCACAAGTCCATATAAAACGACTCCTTCTTCTTCCCCACGATTTCCAATCTCTTCTGCTTCACTTCTTCTTACAGAAAACAGAGAGCTTAGCCTTCCCTTTTCCTCATAAACGAACACACTAAAGAAGAGACAACAAAGGCAGCAGCAAGAAGTTTGGAGAGAAGACAGAACCGACAACAAGCATCAAACAAACAAGGTTACTATTTCTTCACCCTTTCCATCCGTTTCAATCCATAACCCAATTCTTGCTTTAAAGCTAAAGAGCAAAGGGTAGTCTTTTCTGAAAAGCAGCTTGTATGCTATGGTTGGGAAACCCATTTTAATTTTTCTCTCTACCTTATCTTCTACTCCTTCAAGTTCATTTTAGTTATCTAAATTCCCATTCAAATCTATATAGATATCTCACACAACTACCACATAACATTGCCATTACCAATTTTGTCATAAAAGCTACAAAATTTCCAGAACCAAAGCCTCCATAAACCCACAAACTTGCCAAATCCAAAGACAGACAATTACCACCAACCACAATCCCATTTCAGGATCCATAACTACAAATGAACCCCAATTTCTCCAATTCATAGCCGAAATCAGTCCTAAGATCCCAAAACACAAAACCCATCAATAAAATCCATCGTATCATGACAGAAAAACAGAGTCCAAACAAAGATAGAGCCGAACCTCACCCACCAGCCACATCAGCCGCCGGAGGTGACCCACTTTCTTTCCAGTCGTGCTTTCCCTCCTCTCTCGGCCAAAAATGAAAGAAACCAGAAAAAACCCAGGTCAGAACCTCTAAAAATCCACCAAAACATCTAAAAAAAAACTTACCAGAAGCAAAACCTTCCCTTAGTCATCGTCGCCGCCCGCTTCTTCTCCTCCCTTTCGGTCTCACGGTTTCCTTTCCCTCAACCACAATCGAAACCAAAGAAATTCATCAGAACCATCGCATTTCCCATCGTCCATCGCCGGTGGGATTTTCGGAGGCGAACTCTGTTGACATCTTTCCTCATGGTCAAAACCCACTAAACACAAAGATAATCGATTTAAATCGATAGCTACTGGTATAATCCTTGATTACTTAACATCACTTTACCTAATTCCTAAAATTGTAGTTTACTTCGATTGTTCCTATACTCAAGTCTCAATAAACATCTATACGTAATTCCCATGATATTTTTAATCCTTCTATGTCATCATAATCATTTTTATAAAAAAAAAAACTTAAATACAAAACCATGTAATAGATTGTGGTCGCTTTTAAGTCGGAATCATAAAAAAAATTCATATCAAAATCATTTCTTGGAAATCCCAATTTCAAGTCCTATACACAATCGTGCCAAATCCTTCATTTTTATTCGAATTACGTGGACTTTGATCCCGACTATTTGGATACGTAAGCAACCAATAGCTTCGAGTACAACTAACAAATTTTCTCCACTTAAATCATAAATACCAAATTACATCTCTTGAATAAGGAAATCCATTATTATCTTAATCACGTATCGATAGAAGCATGTTAAGATCCTCTTTCCAAAACCTATCAACTTCACCGAATTACGTGGACTTTGATCCCGACTACTCGGGTACGCAGGCAACCAATTGGTTCGAGTCCGACTAACAAATTTTCTCAACAATTTAACGTGTAAGCGTTAACACTTCAAATCACTCTTTTTTAAACACCCAACCCTTAAAAACTTATCGATTTAAGTAGTACCAATTTTGGGCATTATGGAATGTGAATACAATTCCGCACATGTAATCGTACTCCCGAATCTATAATCTTAAATTTTGCAGACCACATCTCGGTTCTGACCTTAAGGTCGAGACCAAGCCAAAAGGTGTTCAATCCACCACAATTAAGATCAATGGCTACTCTGAGCAATCTCGCGATGGATCCCCCAAATTGAGGGGTGGTTGCGACACTAGGACCTGAAATATGACCAAAAGAAAAGCACAACATATCATAAATTAGGTCGAGGAACGACAATCATAAAGTCAAACAATCAATATATGAAAGTTAAAACATGTACAATCAAATATATTGCTTCATCAGAAGTGGTTATTTCTTGTTTTTTTATCTAGGTTTGAGGTGACCATCCCCTTAGGTTGAGATTATAAGTCATATCAAGTAAAACAATATTTTAATTGCATAATCATATAATTGAAGCATTGGGTTTTTACCCTCGTAGGAATCCATGCTTACCGCGCAAGAGATTTTATAGTTACATGACCATTGAACTAAGAATTCCACTAGGAGTGCAACTAGGAGACATGATGGGTACTGAATTCTTTTGTTTATGCTGTTAAAATACGGTACGGAAAAGTTACGTATAAAATATGTACGGATATAGTATTTTAATGGTTATAAATATATAAAAAAATAACTATTTTAAAAATAATTAAATATAAATATATTAGACGGGTTGTATACGTGTTTAGTACGGGAGCCGCCAAATGAATGGAAAAAAATAAAACAACTGAACAATAATACATATAAAATATGTACGGGCACATATACGTATATTAAACGAAGTATTTACTAACTATGGTAGGTAACACATCTCAGAGTTATATTGACTAGAGAATAATTATGACATATCAATGCTTCAAAGAGATAATGAAAGATAGAAAAGGTGGAAATTAATGCTTTTTCCCAGACCAGAATCACTGATGTGTGCTTGGAATGGATCCTGACTCCTGAGAATCCTTAAGACAGAGAGAGATGGGAATGGAGACGACGGTCATGGTGGTATCAGAATCACACAGACAGAAGATAAAGGTGTAAGAAAGATAGATAGACATGATAACTCAAAATTAGACACAAACTAATGAGGAGTCCTCTGAACCCATTGTTTGATTGTTTTTGTGTTTCTGCTCGTATTTTATTTTTATTGGAATTTCCACACACACCTACAAGAAATTGAATTTCGTCCTTCAGTATTTTCTTTTAATTTGGCATCATGGTATATGAAAGTTGTGGGCCCACAGCCACAACCCAACTTGACTTGTGTATATATATTTTCTCCAGCGTGGTGTCTCAATCTCATTCCATTTCCATTTCCATCTCGAGCAGGGTGACAATTATGCCAATGACAGAATAGAAGCACAAACATTCCCCTCTTTCAACTGTCCAGTGTTGGCTACTTGCAAACCCAAAAAGATATCAGAAAGATTTGGAGTGCTCCATAGTACATGAGAAACTCAACTCATGTTCAGGCACCTGCTTCATGCAATAGGATTCAGGCATGGCAGACAACCATCAAGAGAGCAAAACCAACTCCACTGCCACTACAGTCGCTTCAGAATGTTCACCATTGAGCACTAGCATTGTTGCCCCATCCATGGCTCCTCCTTTCACCGGATTCCTCGAAAGAATTTCTAGCTGGACTTGGATGAAACCAAACACTGTGGGAAGCAGCACAAGACAGCGAGTTTTCAGAAGGGATGTTGAAGAGGACGAGCAGCTTCCTTGTGCTGCTGCTCACTGTCTCTCTTCTTACTACAGCGTCTTCGTCGTTCGACTCGCCATCATGGTATGCATCCATACTTTGTTGTTTTGCATTCTCCTCCCATGTTTCGAAAACCAAATTTTTGAATTCCCTTGCTTCAGGTGATGCTTGCAATTCTGATAGGCCTTCTCACCATACTCACCTGGCATTTCACCAAGAGCTACACCAAGAAGTCGCTCGACACCCTAGCTTCAGGCCTTCGTTACGAGCTCTTACAGCGCCCCATCTTGCGAATGTGGAACATCGTCAACTCCACTTCCGAGATCACAACTGCCCAAGTCAAGCTCACCGAATACGTCCTAAGACGCTACAGCAATCCCTCAACTCAGGCTGAACAAGTAGAGGTTGGTGCAATCAATTTGCAGGATTGATCCATCTGTCTTTAATTCTCACAAAACAAAATATGTGATATCAGTTGGTGTGGTTTTTTTCTTCTTCTTTCTTTTGGGTGACATGATTTGTTCAGCTGTACGAAGTGATGAGAGATGTAACGTGGGCACTATTTGCGAGCAGGAAGGCTCTCAACGCAATCACCATAAATTACAGAAATGGATTCGTCCAAGCGTTCCACCGAGACCACATCACAAATAGCACCTTCTACATCTACTCCGACCTCGTCGACTACTCAATCACAACCACCACCACCAATGGCATCAACTCCACAATGTCCACAACCGCCCACCGAGGGTGGGACGTTGATGCCATCCAAAACAACTTCTCTGCAATCTGGTACCGAGAGCCGCTCGACCCTGTAACCGGCGACAAGCTAGGAAAGGCGCAGCCGATTCTCCCCGATGATTTGATCAACATTGCGGGGCTTTCACAGGTGCCAGATGGAGTAGCCTCGTGGCACGTGGCGGTGAGCAAGTACGCCGACTCGCCGATGCTCTCTGCGGCGTTGCCCGTCTGGGATTCTTCCAACAAGACCATCATCGCGGTTGTGGGTGTCACCACCGCACTCTATAGCGTCGGGCAGTTGATGAGGGAGCTTGTGGAGGTTCACAGCGGCCATGTTATCTACTTGACCTCTCAAGAAGGTTATTTGCTTGCCACTTCCACGAATGCGCCTCTCTTGACCAATTCATCGTCGGGGACCAAGCTTATGATGGCTGTCGACTCTGAAGATCCCACTATAAGGAACGGTGCTCAGTGTTTGAATCAGATCTACGGGAATAACTTCCCAGCGGGGCATGTGGTTCACGTTGAGAATGCTCATCTTGGGCACCAACAGTACTATATTGACTCCTTCTTCCTCAATCTCAAGAGACTCCCCATAGTGAGTTGTTTAGCTTCCTTCAACTTTACCGTGTCTAGATTAACTTCGTGTTGATCGATTAGACATGAATTTGTATGTTGCAAACATTGATTTTTTGTGCAGGTCGGGGTGATCATGATTCCAAGAAGCTACATAATGGGGAAGGTGGACGAGAGAGCGTTCAAGACATTGGTGATATTGATTTCTGCTTCTCTGTGCATTCTAGTAGCTGGGTGTGTCTTCATTTTGATTCTCACCAATGGAGTGTCCAAGGAAATGAAACTGAGAGCAGAGCTTATCAGCCACCTTGATGCGAGAAGGAGAGCCGAGGCATCCAACAATTATAAGAGCCAGTTCCTTGCAAACATGAGGTGAGGAATATGACTATGTTCAATATTCAGGGTCTCTCTTTTGTTTTGTATGTTGCAAGAACATGCTTCTTAATCATCAATTTCATTACCCTCTTCTTTGCTTTTCTCCATTTTACAGTCATGAATTGAGGACTCCTATGGCTGCAGTTATTGGATTGCTGGACATTCTAATCTCTGATGATTGTCTCACAAATGAGCAGTATGCAACAGTAACCCAGATCAGGAAATGTTCCACTGCTTTGCTCCGCCTTCTTAACAATATATTGGATATCAGCAAGGTGATAACTCCTTAATTAAGCAACTACCACTTGTATGTGAATACTTCAATAATAACTAGCAACATTATTTTGGAAATTTCTCCATTTTTCAGAAAATAAGATTTTGCATTTGTAGGTTGAGTCTGGTAAGCTGGTTTTGGAAGATGCTGAGTTTGATTTATGCAGAGAACTTGAAGGACTCATGGACATGTTCTCTGTACAGTGCATTAGCCATAATGTGGAGGCCGTTCTTGATATTTCTGGTATAGAAAGATCTTTTTGAGCTCAACCCTCATTCTTGTCAATGATTAAACCACCAATGCACATCTACATATATTTACCGAATGCAAGTCCAACCTCTTTCTTTCTTACAGACGACATGCCAAAACTAGTACGAGGAGACTCTGCCCGGGTTGTTCAGATATTTGCTAATCTCATAAGCAATTCCATCAAGTTCACGACATGTAAGTGCCTGGATCTAACAACTTTCATTTCTCCATGGATGTCGGGAAGTAATCTTGAAGGCATGTTTGTTTTGTTGATAGCTGGTCACATTATCCTGCGAGGCTGGTGCGAAAACTTGAACAATTTCGATTATGTTGCCAAGTTCCCTTCCGATCACAAGAAAATGAGATGTGCAATCAAGGCGAAGCTGAGGCAACATGGGAATCATACGAAGAAATCCAATAGGAGGGAGAATAAAGTAATTATGTGGTTTGAAATTGACGATACAGGCTGTGGTATGTAAAGAAAATAAATTTTGCATATTGTTGTCAACAGTCTGAGACCAAAGCTTAAAGCAGTTCAATATCCTAAAAAGAAACTCAAACCAAACTTTGTTTTCTTTCTTGTGTTAGGAATTGATCCGAGCAAATGGGAATCTGTATTTGAAAGCTTTGAGCAAGCTGATCCTTCCACTACACGATTGTGAGTAATCTATACCTTATCTTGAATAATAAAGTATGGTTATATTCTTCAATTGAATTTGGTTTCAACTTCTAAATTTTAATACTTTCAGGCATGGTGGCACTGGCCTTGGATTATGCATCGTTCGGACCTTGGTAAGCAGTTAACTTGCTCTAAAAGCATAGACTTTTGGTACATATCTTGGGCCTGCTCAAATAGTTTTGAATGTGATAAACTATAAATCATCTAGCAAGTTTTTGAATGATGAGATCTGTATAAAAACCAGGTGCACAAAATGGGGGGAGAAATAAAGGTTGTGAAGAAGAATGGAGCAGGAACTCTAATGCGGCTCTTCTTACTTCTAAGTACACCAGCAGATTGTACAGATATACACCCTCAAACGGATATCGTTAGGCATAATTTGGTGGTAATTAAAGAGCTTCCTCATATCGACCACAATGGGTTTTAACTTTCATCACCTACCATCACAACAAAAAATTATGACTTTTTTTTGCCTTGTGATTGCCAACAATGCAGGTCTTGCTTGCACTCTACGGAACTATGGGAAGAGTGGTTATGTCCAAATGGCTACAAGGTTTGGGACTTCCCACACTAGGGATTTCAGAGTGGAATGAGCTAACCCAAGTCCTCCACGAACTCTTTCAATCAAAAAGGCAAAAAAGTAACAACAACAATAGCATTAGCAGCAATGGCAGTAGTAACTTTGATGGACATCATCCACTGAAGGAGCCACTAAAGGCCGAAGTCATTCGTGTTCAAGAAATGAAGGAGCATTTGCTAGTCATAGTTGTGGACATAGGGCTGCTTGACTTGAGCACAGAGATATGGAAAGAGCAGCTCAATTTCCTGGACAACTTCTCAGAGAAAGCCAAGTTCGCCTGGATGCTGAACCATGACACTTCTAACCAGGTGAAGATGGAGCTTCGCCGCAAAGGGCACATGTTAATGGTGAACAAGCCGTTGTACAAGGCAAAGATGGTTCAGATCCTTGAGGCCATTATCAAAGAGAAAAATGTAGGTCGACAAAGGAGCTATTGTAGGGATAGGAGTGATATGCATGAGTGCGTGGAGATTGATCCCACTCAATTTGAAACCGCAAGCTCGGAGGATTTCGAAGTGTCCAGCCCTAACAAACAAGGAAATGAAAATAAATTTGGGAATGGAAATTGGAACAGCTTGGTTTCTGCCACAAGGTCAGCAGAGAGTAAACAAAAGTGTTCAATTGTTGAAATGACGGGTGGAAATTCAGAGGAAGGGAGTTGCAAGACGGAAAGGAATGCGGTGGATGGGAAACATGTGAAAGCTCTTGATGGATTGAGGATTCTACTGGCAGAAGACACACCGGTCTTGCAGAGAGTTGCGACCATAATGCTGGAGAAAATGGGTGCTAGTGTCGTTGCTGTAGGTGATGGACTTCAAGCTGTGGAAGCCCTAAACAGTAACATGATGACATGTGGGAGTGCAGCCGCAAATTCACCTGAGATTCAAGACTCTCAGGCGTTCGACCTCGTTTTGATGGATTGTCAGGTGAGAAGTTACTCTGAATCCGCTCCTGGATCTTGTTCTTTACTATCTCACTTCTTATTTATGTTTGATATACTGTGTGGGTTTGGGGTTGAGAATGACAGATGCCGAAGATGGATGGATATGAAGCAACAAAGGAGATCAGGAGATGGGAAGAAGGAAGAAGTGGGGTTCATATCCCGATTGTGGCATTGACGGCCCATGCAATGTCGTCGGATGAAGCTAAGTGCTTGGCCGTGGGGATGGACGCTTATTTAACAAAGCCAATTGATTATAAGCTAATGGTTTCCACCATTTTATCACTTACTAAACCAATAACGACTTCTTAATAGTCTTCTCTCGACCTTTAAACCCCTCATTTTGGCAATAAGAGAAAAATTAGACATATCACAAATGTCAAAACGATCCTGTCATTTTTGTAGGATGCAACAATATGAGGCTAGAGATTGACAGGGTTCAATGATCCACAAAAGGTTGTATGTATGTGTAAAGTGTAACATATCATCATCGGCTCTTTTGTTGCTTAACTAACAAAAGGATCCTTTGTGACATTTGAATTGTGAAAATGTTCAACATGTACAAATTATATTGTTGGCTAATGATTTTCATTATGCAAATGATATAACCGCATGGATACTATGGGCCAAGGTTGTCAACTCATATTGGATAGTCGATCCAATCAAGTAACTTGGTTGTGGTTGCGGTTAAATGGTTGAAGACGGTTCAATTGGATACTTGATTTATCTAGATTCATAAATAAAGACTTTGTTATGGTGACTTGGAAGTCACCATGACTTGGATTAATGGTCTACCTTTTTAACTTGTGGTCGACCACTTTTCAAGAAATTGATCTACTACTGCTTCCACTAAGTGGACTACTTTTTCCTTCAAACGATTTACCTCTTCCGCTGTGTGGTTGACTACTTTCCAAGAAATTGGTCTACCCCTTACACCAAGTGATCTACCGATTCCAACAACCGGTTGACCTGATGAATCATTGCTAATAAAATTATCATATATAATTAGAGGAATTCAATATTAATAGACATGTTTGCTGGTAAAAGAGTTAAAATTTGTACAAAGACTGTAACATTGATGAGAAGTTTCTCGAATGATTGTTCACCTATAGATTTGGAAAATGGTTTTCATATTTATTTCTTAGATTGGACTTACTCTACAAAGACTTTCATTTTTCCTTCAAATTCTAAGTTTGATTGTTTTCATCCTATGGTTGTCTTGTGATAAATCCACTTTGTTGATATTGTTGTTATGAAGATACTTAAAAAGTAGAGTATAATTGTTATACCATTGTGTCATCTTCAACGTCTATATAAATCTCATATCATCTTGCTTTTAAGGGGTTTTATTCTATAAGTTAAGAAAAAGGCTTGTTATTTCTTTTTATCTAGCTTATAATATGTGCAGAGTTTGGTTGCCCACAAATGATAGGATGTTGGATTACTTAATACAATTTCATATTGTATGCCTTCTATTGTCCAGTATTTTCCTGATATAAATAGAAGGTAACTGTGTCATATGGTCGATCCTTTGCTGGAAGCAGTAGACCGTTTTCTGAAAGTAGGTGTAAGTTGAAAATAAGTGTGTCATCAGGTTGCCCGTTTGTCCAAAGCGGTAGATCGCTTGCCTCAAGTGTTGGACCACTTGAAAGAAGAGGTAGACCATTTTCTTGGAAAGTGGTCGACCGATTTGTGGAATAGGTAGACCGTTTTCTCCAAATCATGGTGACTTGCAAGTCACCTTAGGCATACCCTAAAAATAAATATATATTATATCAGAGTTCATGGCTACACTAATTAAGCTAGTTTCGGTACAAATCCATTCTTTTTCGTAGTATTACAAAACCTAATTTAATGGTTGCGCTTTGGGGAAGAGAGATCTAATGGTCCGTATTATAAAGGGGCAAACAGAGAAATAACAGATTAAGGGGAGAGCTGACTTGATTTTTGGGGCAACACATGGATTTCCAGATGTACTTTCAATGCTCTTTTCAAATTTTCTCCAAAAATTCAACTGACCATATCTCATTCGTTTTAAATAGTATATCAATTTTTTTTTGCAAATAAGCATTATGATTTTTGTGCTCTACAAGATGATATCGATGTTGATAATTTTTTTAACAAAAAATTTCAAGTCATCATACCACTATCATATCACGATATTACCAATGACAGTGGTATAATATAATAGTGGTATGATGTTGGTAATGATAGTGATATATTGTTGGTATCAGGTTTATGCTTGAAAAAATAATTTGAGAACATCATATTACTCTCATATCATAATATTATCAACATGGTATAATGATGATATTAAGATATGATAATGGTATGATGTTGGTATGACGTCTTAAGTTTGACAAAATAATTTGATGATATCATATACTACAATATCATATAGTGATACATGATATGATATTGATATAATGTGCAGTTAGTATGACCATAGTGGTAAGATCATGATATGGCAAATATGATAGTGATAATAATACTACAAACAACACGTGTTTTGAAGATCAAATTTTTTTTCTTGCTCAAACACAGCGAAATTGATCTCAATGTGTAGATCTTCTTAATTATTGCGTCACTTATATGAAAATTATTTAACCCTTGGGTTGCAACATAAAAGATATGACCCGATTAAGAAAATGGGTGATCAGAAGAAGAAAAAAATCCTTAAACTGATCAAATAAGTTTCACTTTCTCCTCTAGGATCTGTGACAGGCTGTAAACCAAACAAAAAAAGGAAGGCAAAATTACTAGGCCCATCTTGACACTCTTTCTTATGCGTGTGCATTTTTTGCCATTAGATGAAAAAAAATATGGACGACTAGAAATAAGGTTTTGTAGTATATGAGTTTTGAGGGACAAGTTAGAGTGCTAAGGGGTTAGCATCATACTAACCAATCTGATATTCATTCATTATATTTAAGTTAATCTGAGGGTGGAGAATAATGAGGGGTATATTTGGTATTTTTATGAATTAAATTAAATAAAATTTTAAAATATTTCTTTCGTCCCTCTCATAGAGAATTTCAAGGAAAAAAATGTACACTTGGTAGCAATTTTGGTGACTTGTAGTAGTGTTTTTTTAGGTGCAGCATAGTTATTTTAATTTAAATAGTAGTGTTTTACCATTTTTAAGAGTAGTGATTGGCTAAGTAAGAATCACTACTAAAAAAATAAATCACTATTACAAATAAGAAAATTACTACTACAAATAAGCAAAACACTACTAATAGAGAACATAGTCAATAATTACAATAAGAATCACTACTAATCATACCAGCAAAATCACTAATAATCGATGCAATTACAATAATATCTACAAACATAATCACTACTAATCGACATACATATCTATGTCTCTTTCGTAATTGAATATGAGGCGTATTTGATAACTGATCACTGCAATTACTCCCACAAAAAAAAAATCACCGCAATTACCATGATAATTAATCAACACCTAATTGAATCACTACGAGGATAAAGCAGCAGCTTCATTGTGTGTTGCTTCAACAGGCATATTTGCTGGTTCCTCTGAATAGACGCCGATTGCCGCGGGGAGAAACCAGGCAGTGGACGATCGAATGGGAGGAGGGAGAATGGATCAATCAGAGACGAAACTGGTAGCGGAGCCCTAGATCTGGGCGGCGGCGGCCTTGAACGGGAAGGACGAGGCAGCAAGAAGGAGCGTTTTTCCCCCGGATCGATGGCGTCGAACGCGGAACTGGTGACAGAGCACCAGGGCCGTTGTAGACGTGAAAAGAGCCGTCTCCGCCAACGTCTCCCGCCCATCGACGGAAACACCCTCTCCGCCAGCTTCGGCGCCGCCCTCCGCTCGCAAGCACCCTTCTCTGGCTTTTATAGGTTTTGGCGACAAACCGTGACTGAGAGATTGAGAGAGGAAACCGTAAATGTGAAAACAGGTTGAAAGAGGAGTATTTATATTAGGGTTTGCGTAATTGTTGACTAAATTATCCTTGAGTTAATTCTAACTCTAGGATTATTATTTTAATCTAATGATTGTTAGAGTAGTTAGTATGGTGCTAATTCCTTAAGAGGTTAGCACCTATTCTCATTCCGAGAGTTTTGTCAAGAAAAATTAATGTATACCATTAAGTATTTTTAAATTTAATCTATGTTATTAATAATTAAAAACTAAAACAAATCCAAAACCTAATGTCTCATTCACATGTCATTCCTTTTTTGTGGTTGCCGCAACACAAATGAAAACCTAAAGAAAACGAAATTGTTGTTTCACGAAAAACCAAAAGTTCATGTCATTCACATTTTCCAATAAATATCATTAAATGATATCAATTTTTAAAGGGTTATAGGTATAATATGCCCCTCTACTATGATGTTTTATCAAAGATGTCCCTCTACTACTTTTTACATCAAATATACCCCTGTACTTTGAAAAAATTATCAAACATGCCCTTGTGTTAAAATTTTCATTGAAAAAATCGTCAATCATGATTGAACCGATATTTAGACAACCCGACATCGGCAAATGGGAGGAAAAATATCAGTTTTGTCCCCTGTTTTATTTCTTTGGGTCTTTTCAAAGTGAAATTATTTGAATGATTTGATTATACAAAAGAACCAAAAAAATTCTATAGTGAAATTTTCAGAGATATTTTAGTCATTTGTGTCGCCCAAACTAAAGTTCGGCCTTGGTTAACTGTTTTTGGATGAAAATTTTAACAAAAGAGCATGTTTGATCATTTTTACAAAGTACAGGGGCATGTTTGATGTAAAAAATAGTAGAAGGGCATGTTTGATAAAACGTCATAGTAAAGGGGCATATTATACCTATAACCCATTTTTAAATATGAACCCTATTGTTTCAAACTACTCATAACTCATATATGACCTACAATAGTAATTTACTAATTTACTAAGCTAACCGTGAGCAAGCTACGATTATGAACTCCACATAAATCTCAATCGCATAATGCATTACTTTGTCCAATAACTGGTTACATAATCAACAAGTTGATTCAAATTTATATATCTAACCAGGTGGCGATGCCTTACTTTGTCGTGGGATGGAGATGGCCTATGGCCATGTATCATGTGATTCGTTATGGTGTTTTGTTAGTATTATTAGGCTAAAATTAATTTTGTGTCGCATTTTTGTTAGTAATATTGTCTTGACAATATGATATTGAGTGAGAAGAGATATATGAAGCTCGACATCCAATTTAATTTTTTTTAATTTTGGCTAATAAATGATAATTAGCCTAAACCCAAGTAGACCCATTGATCATTGGTAGGGTCTGGGTGACATATATATGAGTTTGAAAGTTTGTAGATGGGGTTGGGTAGGGTATATGGATATTTACTTTCATAATATAAATGTGTATGAGTTGGGTATGGATACCCATTTATTCGAGTGTGTTTTAATTACACATACAAAAATTAGACCTATTTGTAGAAATTCAAAAATTTAGGTACCAAAATGTAATACACAAAAATTTCAGGTACTAAAACGTAGTGTTCCGTCAATATTTTTAGGACTTATATGCCAAGAAAATAATTTTAGATTATAAATCTAAAGATCTATTAAGTTTAGGTACCAAATTATAATTTGCATAAATGAGCCTTAATTTCTTTTATGGTGATGTAATTAAGATGATAATTGTTTACTTTTTTATAGAAAATAAGAAACTATTTATTTGATATGTTTAGATACCTAGCCAAAACATTCCATGTAAAATTGTTGAAATTCTAGATTGGGTGGAAAAGAAAAACTCAAGAGAGAAGCAAAAGGAATACAAACTGGAATTCGCTTAAAAATTTCACGCCTTCAAATCCCATAGTGGAAAATGACGAATTTCTAATAAGTAATAACCATATATATTTATTTTTTATTGGACTCGACATTGAGCTGAAAAAGTTAGTGGTTCATGGTTCAATTATTAATTCTCTAGACTGTTGGTCAGTCGTGTATGGACCCTTAGAATGCATAAAAATAGCAAGGTTCTAAAAGGCGCTAGGCGTAAGCCAGGCGCTCGGCTCCTGACTTGCGCCTTGCCTGATTAGGCGTAGCCTAGGCGCGCCTAGGCGTTCAGAGCATAAATGGAAAATTTTCTCAAATATTTCATGTTTTCTGGAATAATTCATATAATCCAAGTGCATATAAAATTAGCAATGCCTAGTTCTTAACAGTAAACACTTAACATAACAAATAACAAGCAAATAGTCAATAAGTTCATAGGAAAATGTTCATTCTTCATCATCCAAGTAGGTCCGTCCAGCCACCACTTCATCTTCATCATCCTCAAAAGCAATCTCCTCACCATCCTCCTCCACTTCCTTCTCTTCAGACACTAATTCTTCATCATGGAACTCTCTCACTCGTGCACTCTTGCGAAGCTCACTCTGTTCACCCGCCATTGCATCTGTAACAGTACTCGAGGGTGCACAATATGATTCCTCATCCTCATCTCCGAATACATACATAGCATGGTCATCCCCTTCCCGTGTTTCTGATTTTCTAGGGCAAGAGGCAATTTTCTGATTTTCTAGGACAAAACGAAAAGTATCGGGTTTAACCGCCTAAGCTCGCCCAGGAACGCCCATGCACGCCTTCTCTCCACTAGGCGCAAACTAAGCGCTATTCCTAACTACTAAGCGCTATCAGCGCGTTTTACAATGCCTGTGGCCAAGTCAATGTGATCCTCCACCGCCTAGCGCCTAATTAGGCGCGCCTTCTTGAACCCTGAAAAATAGTATACTAATTAGGGTTAGACGAAGAAGGCAAATAAAGAAATAAAGAAAGGGTTATGGATGGCAAGTGAATAATGAAATGAAGAGGAAGTAGATGATAGAAAGGTTTTGACCAATTCATTTAGTTGGCCGTCAATACAACAGTCAACCATTTTCACGTAGCAATTTATTGACACTTGCTTATGTAGATGTCGCATGTTTTGTTCCATGTAGTTAGTAGAAGTTTGTTAAGTCCCCAGAAATGTATTAAATGAGTTTATAAATCCGTTCTTGAAATATTTTAGAGTCGTCTCTCTTTTATCATTTATTTAATGAATCACGTAATGGGCAAATATAAAATGGTCGAATCTTCACCTATAGTTGGACCAATATGTAAATTTAAAAAAGTTGTAGGTACGAAAATCTCATAAAATTTAGATATCAAAACATGATTATTCAATCATTTTCATTAAAATTAAAGTTGAAATTTAATTAAATTTAGAGTATCAAAATCTACTTGTTTATGCAACAGTAAACTCAGTTTACATTTATATATATTAATTAATTAATGATACAATCCACATATGCAAACCACTTGCAGGTATTGATCTCAGTATCCTACTGAATTATGCAAAGACAATAAAAATCAACTAGTCTTTCTTGGCCTAACATTCGTAGCAACTAAACAATTGCAGAGGAAACAATGACAAGATTTGGGTGATTGCAATTACAATTCCTTCAAAATAGCTTTTATGTGAAACCTCCTTCAAACTCAACACTGAAATCTCCTCCCCTCTTGAAATCCTGATTCTGCTAGAGTAAAGAGCCTGCTTGATGAGTTTTATTGAATGTCCGGATTGAAGTGTAACCCATAGGAGTGTGAAGTTTTCTTTGGTGGTTAGGCAATTCAATACAAGTCGAATGCACTTCTTCTCACAGGATTTCGAGAGGGTCAATTGTATGTACATTATTTTGGTGTACCTTTGATCTCTGGCAAATTTACTAGTGGAGAATGTGCTATATTGGTGGATAAATTGACAAGTCAGATCAGGGCATGGAGGGCTAGTAAGCTATCCTATGCAGGCCGCCTCCAACATATTTCTTCTATTCTTTATACCCTATGTCAATATTGGATGACAATTTTCATTTTGCCCAAGAAGGTAATTGAGAGTAGTCAGAAGATTTGTTCAGATTTTGTGGCATGGGGATGGTACAAGGAAAGCAAAGGTTGCGTGGGACTTATTGGCTACACCAAAGAAAGAGGGTGGTATGGGATTGAGTGACCTCAGAACTTGGAATGTTGCATGTTTAGCTCGTCTCTTGTGGTTGCTGTTTCTGCAGGGGGACGGAGCTTTTGTGTGGCATGGGTGAGGCGCTATAGGATGAGAGCTCGATCTATTTGGGAGCTGAAGTTGACCATGACTGGATCCTGGCTATGGAGACAACTACTTAAGCTTCGTGGGTGGTATCAATACAGAATGACTGCAAATGCTTAAAATCAGGTTTTCTGGGAGGGCAAGCTTATGCAAAGGTTTTCGGTGCAACAAGTCTGGGAATCTATTCGGGTGCATAGATCTCTGGTTCCCTGGTGGCAGGTAATTTGGGGTAAGTACACTCTCCCCAGAAACAGAGTTATTATGTGGCTTGTCATTTTAAATCGAATAGTGACTCATGACAAGCTCAAGATGTGGGGTAAGATCAATGAGGCAGTGTGTGTAGTTTGTGATTTAGAGGAAGAAAGCCATTGTCATTTATTATGTAGTTGTGAGTATACTAGGCACTTGTTTGCTGCGGTATTTGGCAGTCTGCTACGAAGTTGGGGTTCCGATTGAGAGTAGATGCTACAAGAGGTGTGTTCAGTGGCTAAGAATGGTAGAGATGGTTATGTACTGAGTGTTGTTTGGTGTTTGGTTTGCAGTTTGGTTTGGAAGAAGAGATGTAGACGTGTTTTTGAAAAATTCCCAAGTCATGCGAGGTTGTCTTCTTGCAATTACGTGAGGAGGTTTGGTTATTAGCACAAGAAAATTTATGATTTAAAGATGCTTTAAGCAGAGTAGAGTGGTAGGAACATTAAATCCACACTTTTGATTTTGAGAGTTTTCCACTGTAAGATGTAAATCTGAGTTTTTGTGCGACTTGATCGTGTTGATCAAGTGAGCTTCATGGAAGAAATAATTACCGGGAAAAAAGTACAGGGACCTAAACAGTAATTTTGTTTGAGTCCCCCATATTTTCAGTACAAGCAATTTAGTCTCCAACAATTTAAACTTTTTATAATAGGCCGAAAATAGTATTTTGTCAAGATTGTTATTATTTTTTTGTTGTTGTACCGTATGTACTTTAATAGTATGATAATTTTATGAATAGGATTAAATATATAGAATGTTTTTATATTAATTTGAGAATTTTTGAAACTGCTTTTCCAATTATAAAAATTATTAGGAATACGAATTTAGTAAAATAAAATAATAATCGAATATTTTTGTTGGTTTTGATAACTTTAGTCGATGCTATATACTTGTATATTTGCACAGAGTTTATTTGGGAGTTTTTAGAGTCGATTGGATAATTATAAAAATTTATAATATGTCGCCTTTAACTGATTAAATTACTGTATGCATATCTTTTATTAATTTGATAATTTTATGAAAAATGAGAATATTTATAGTACATTTTAAAATTAGGAACCGGAATTTTAGACGTAGGTATTATAGATTTAAAATTTGTTTATTATAAAATTAAATGAGAAAAAGGAGTTAAGCAAGGTGTATACTATAGTTAATAATTTTGGGTTATGTTTTGAGTTATTCAAAGTCGGAATTTATAATTTTAAGAGGGAAATTGTTTTTGTAAATTTATGAAGTTTATTTAAAGGATTTCTTTTTTAGTTAATCGTAATAATAAGTTTTTAAAATTTTTGGGAAAATTCCACTGTTTTAGGAAAATTATTTAAAAGAGTTTAAGGGTCTTTTCAAAGAATTTTGAGATTAAGCTAGGAGGACCGAAAATTTTAAGGAATGTCGACTAAGGAAAATTTATCTCGATTTAAAGGATTTAGGGGGCGATCAAGTTAAGGGACTCCACATCAAAAGAAGTAAAGTATCGGCACTTGAGAGGTGAGTGTTAAGGGGGTAAAATCTCCGTCGAGGTCTTTTAGTTTATGTCTTTTAATTCAATTATGTTTGTTATTTTCAAGTAAGCACGATTATGTGTGTGAGGCATCCCACCCCCTACTTAAGCTGGAGGCACGCGTTGTGCTATGTATGTGATGTTTGTATGTAAGATGAACCCTCGGGCGGTTGGGTCACTACTGGACGCGGTAGATGGTTGGGTCACTACTGGACGACGATACGTAACACAGTAGTTGACCGGGCATGGACTGGACGACGTTACGCAAAGCAGTAATATTGCCTTGTGGATAGGGACACCGGCCGGCGATACGTAACGCGATGGACCCTAGTAATAAGTATATGAGTTAAGATAGAAATAGAAACTTCTACGATTTAACGTTGGAATAAGGTTTTAAGGATGAAAGAGAGACCGACTTTCATGTAAGAGGAAGTTATTTCTAATAACGTGTTAGTAAGGATTTACTTAAGGCAAAGACCTTAGTAAGTAACGACGAGACTGACCCCCTTCTCACTCACCAGGTGGGGAAAGGGGAAGAGGATGTAACCAACACGAGGAGGTTAACCAAGGAGGTCAGCCGTGTCAAGTTTGAAGATGTCAGAAGGCTCAGGGTAACGAGAAGGGATCTCTTTACCATATTTTTCTTTATTTCGTGTCTTATGAGTATACTGGAAAACTCAATGTTTATCTTTAAATGTTTTGGATTGAGATTGACCCAACTGTTTAGGGCTTTTTGTTTGAGATTTCTGGTTATTGTCGTTGGTTGATTTTTTTTGTTTAACTTTAAAACGTGGTTGGGGTTGCTCCGGAGTAACTTGTTTTTTGTTTGAATTATGGTTTGGTTTTTTTTCAAAAGAATTGGGTTGTTTCATAGGTGATATCCGAATGAGTGATTGTCAAGTAGAGGAGATAACCAACAAGACGTCGATAGAAAGAACCATCAGTGAGAGTAACATTTGAGGGTTGTGCCAAGTGATGATTTTGTTCGACATGGAAGGCGATGGGACGAGTAGCCTAAACACACGCCTCTTCAAGAATATCAAGAGTATACTTATGATGTCTTACGACAATGCGACATGGCGAGCGAGCAACTTCAATACCCAAGAAGTAGCAGAGAGATTAGAGAACCTAAATCCTTTATACAAAAAACGCTAATCAAGGAAGGCCTTAACATGATTGATGAAAGGCATGGCATTTCCTGCCAAAATGACATCATAAATGTAGATAAGAGCAGCGACAAAAACACCATCTTTCTGGTAGATAAAAAAAGAATGATCATCCAGAGACACACGGAAACCAAGTTCATTAAGAGAAGCAGTAAGCTTGTGATACCAATTACGAGATGCCTGCCGGAGACCGTTGATGGACTTGTGGAGATGACAAATGTGATTTCCCCCCTTTTTGGCAAAGCCAAGAGGAATACACATATACACTTCTACATCCAGATCCCCGTGGAGAAAAGAATTGTTAACATCTAGCTGATGAATAAACCAACCGCGGTGGACAACCACGATAATTAAACAACGAACAAGAACAAGAACAAGTTTAGCCACTATAGCAAACGTATCATGATAATCGACACCTTCAACCTGAGTTATCCCTTAGCCATTAACATAGGCTTATAATGCTCGATAGTACCATCCGGAAAATATTTAATCTTGAAATCCCACTTTGAATCAATGGTATGTCGATCGAGTGGAGGGATAACAAGACTCCACGTTCCATTCTGAATGAGAGCGGTGATTTCCTTGAACATAGCCTCACGCCAATGCGCATATTGAACACCTTGGTTGAAAGTCTAAGGTTCATCATGGCTAGTGACAACATCCAAAAATGTCTGATATGCAGGGTAGCTCGAGAATACGAGACATGAGCTAATAAAGGATAAACGACGGTCTGGGCAGTATTAACAGTCGTGTTATTATCTCCCAACTTGGGGCGAGTACCAACTCGATCATTACGACGAAGGGGAGCAAGCTAGTCAAGTGAAGGAGCCTCGAAAATGTTGGGTTGCACTGGAGTCAAAGAGGAAGAATTTGGGCCAGGTGAGACTGGCTTAGACGGTCCTGTGAGCAAGGTACCGCTCGAGACCGAGCTGGATGACACGGGATCTAGAACTGGGGAAGTATTTTCGAGCCCAACTGAAGTAGAACTTGGAACAATAGTGGAGATTGGGCTGGAGCCGGGAGAGCTCGGGTCGTGGGGTGATGCCCTCAAAACTAGGAGGGGAATTGGCAATGGCCGCTTTGGTTCTAAAAAGAAAAAATTCTCTGGAGGCACTGTCACGGACATAGACTTCTGAAGTCCGTGCGGCGTCTTGAGGTGCACTCATTCCTCAAGACCAGCCTCTCTGCATACGCATGCCAACTGGTTTCGCCCTGCCTTGGGCTCATCAGGGAGACGGCAATAGCCTCCGACCAGTTGTGCCTTCTCTTGCAACGATCCCTTTCATAGCCAGATCCTGACTCGGCCAGATGCGATGCACAGGCAAACAACGCATTATCGCTAATGTCGCCCCCTTTACCCTTATCATGGCAAGACAACCAGATGGCAGCGTTCTTCAGACGATCAACACGGTCACGACATTTCGGGTCGTGACAGCACCCAATGAAGACTTTGTTGATCCGAGGTTCGAAAGGGGAAATGGTCTTCAACGAACAAGACATCCCTCGAGACTAGGAACTTTTGAGTAACAAGGTCATAAAGTTGATACCACTTTTGATCAGGTGGGTATCCCAAGAAGACACCCATACAACCTTTGTCGGCCAACTTGTGAAGGCCAAGATGAGTATCCTTTGCGTAGACAATACATCCAAAGACTCAAAGGTGAAGTAAGGTGTTGGCTTACCAAAGAGAACTTCAAAGGGAGTCTTCTCTGTTGGTGTTGTGGGAAGAAAATTAAACAAGTAAATTGTCTTTAACACTCTCTCTCCCCAAAGCTGTATGGGCAAGCCGACATGAAAGTGCGCATGCTGTATTGAGTATGTGCCTATGCTTCTGTTTGAAAACTCCATTTTGTTGTGGAGTGTCAGTTCAATTGGTCTGAAAATGAATTCATTGGTGAACATATAGTAATCATGAAGAATGGTTATCTGAAAATCAGTCCCATTGTGGGTTTGAATATGATGGACACAACCATGAAATTGTGTTCAAACCATATCCGTAAACAACAGCAAGTACTTAGTAACATCGGACTTGTAACGTAGCATATAACCCCAGACAGTACGACTGAAATCATCAACGATAATGAGAAAATAATGAGCTCCATCAGTAGAAGGAACACTGTATTTACGCCATAGATAAAGATGGACAAGTTCAAAACAATTCATCTTCTTAATGTTACTAGAAACAAAAGGTGCATGAGTATAACTAGCATGAGAACATGAATGACAAAAATCCTCACTAACTCGAAGTGCAGGAGACAAAAAAGAAGCCAGTTGCACCATCTTTGACATAAATGGATGACTCAGCCTAGAATGCCAAATTTTGGACGAAACGACTTGACTTCCTACCGCGGCAAACGCTTGACAATCATTGTCTGCAAAGAGACGGAGATAGTAAAGATCGTCACGGAAAATCCTCTTTTCAATCACGTTCCTGAATTGTAAGTCATGGAGAATACAAAAGTCATGAAGGAAGATCAAAGCAACGTCACTCTACTTTGTGAGATGACTAACATACAATAAATTACAAAAAAATTGGGGCACATTGAGTACTCTGTCCAATTTCAATCACGGGGATAGCACAACTGATCCTACTTTAGCTACCAGAACTCTGGTTCCATTAGGAATCCTGACTAGTCGACTAATTGAATCCATTACCACATTAATCAACATGGAATCATCAAATACTATATGATCACTATAGCCCGCATTATTAGAAGATTGTCTTTGATTGCATCCTTATTTTGTTGCTATTTGATTATTTCGTGATTTTAGGGTCCTTTAGACGATACTTGTGAATTAGGTACAAAAAAGGCACAAGTGTAGTCAAATGGGAAGGAAGTTGATGATCACAGCTTGGACGGGAATAATCTTCATGAGAAGGCAAGGTTGAATATCGAGAGAAGGATGAAGCAGATTATGAAAAATGTCAACAAGAATAGATAGCCTCGATCATTTGAAGCTGGAGATTGGGTGTTGGTGCACATGAGGCAAGAGAGATTTACATACCAAAGGAGATCCAAGCTACTACCTAGAATTGAAGGTCCCTTGCAAGTAATTTCAAAGGTTGGAAGCAATGCCTACAAAATCTACTTGTCGGGAGAGTACGGGGTAAGTGCAACCTTCAATGTTTATGATCTTGCACCTTATTTGGATGACAATACGGATTTTAGGTCAAATCCTTTTCAAGAGGTAGTGACTGATGAGGTCATCAAAACAGAGCCTACAACATCACAATAGGGTCTAATTACACGTTTAAGGGCTAAGAAGCTAAGTGAGGAATTTGCACAATGTTTGGATCAACATTTTGATGACATGGATGTGGACCAGCTCAAAGCGAAGTCAATTGTGTTGCTACAATACATGGAAGGAGAACAAAGGGAGAAGATGGGCTTGGGAGATTGAGTGGAGTTGAAGGGATAGGAGGGTAGCAGAAATGGAGGCTTGAATGGGCTTGTGGAGTGCCCTTAGCCAAAAGGACGGTCGTTTCCTTTGCTTAGAAGGAATAAGACCAATTCAAATGCTTAGAGGAGAAGGAATGGTTATTTTCGAATTTTGTGTTTAAATTTAAGTGTTTATTTTGCTTTCTTTGTTTGTTTTGGATTTGGGTTTGTAACCCTATTTAAAGGGAAAAATTCTATTGTTTTTGCAATCAAGTTTTCAGCAATCAATTTCATTAGTTTCACTCGAGTTCCATAGGAATGTTTAGTGCAAGCTTTATGTCGAAGGATTTCCAGGAGATTTCATGTGTCTCTTATCAACTAGAGAATGGCAGAATGCTTCTAGTTGTGGCAGACATTTACCTTATATCAATTTCCACTTTCCACCATAGACCAGGAAACCGGATCGTACCGGCCGGTTCAACCGGAAATTGGACCAAAAGCGATACGGTGGGCTGCTTGTGCTGATTTTACCGTGCCGGCCGGTTTTTCCGGTTCGACCGGTTGAACCGGTTGAACCGGCCGGTATGATCCGGTTTTCTGGTCTATGATTCAGCTTCATTTCTCCGTATTCTCGTCCAATATGTGGAAAATAATTAAAAAGAATATTATTTTGCTATTTTTCTATGTTGAAAATGGGTCACCGTGGTTGTATAATGCTCTATTTGGTTCTTTTTTTGATGGATTATATTTTTTATACTATCCCATTTCATTTCTCTATCAATAATGAAAAACGGTATTTACCGGTACAAAACGGTTGAACCACGGTCGTACCACAAAATACCATACCAGAAAGGAATCCGGTATGATGTCCGGTACGGTTTCCTTTACCATGCTTTCCACGAGTTGATTTTGTCCGATTGGTTTCATATACCAATTTCCCTTTGTTACGAGTTGGAATTTTCTGATTGATTTTGCAACCTATCTTTATTTTCGAGTTGAAGAATAGAAATCAAGAAAAGTTTAAAAATATCATTGAAGCTGCGTACTTTGGTCATATCAGTCAGGCATCTCACTCTCATGCGATCTGGGATGATGACCGGAAAACTGGCCCTCAAAGGCAGAGACGCGAGTCTCTAGGTCGCTCAAGGAAGAAGATGGTCCGACTTCGATTGATGATGAAGCCCCATAGTGGCCATGGTGGCGTGTTGATGGTGTCGGTACTCACCGTGGTGGCTCTGGTGCCGCATTCACTATTGGCCTGAACAAAGCAGAAGGTTGGAGACCATCGATGTACTTGATGCCTCGCTCGAGGTGAACTAGCCTCATATGGTGGAGCGTCTCCACAGAAAATATCTATGTTTGACCCACCTCTATTGAAATGGTGGTGTCCACCCCGAAGTATCGGACGAGTCTAGTAATAATGGGGCCCAAATCCATATTGTACACTCGAGGCTAACCCATAATCCTTGAGAAATAGGTCTCCATGACTAAACCCAAGTGAAGAAGCTCTCGAGATCGACCCATAGTGTGTAGGGAGAATTACTATTGAAGAAGACCAGTTTTAAGTTTTAAAAGGGAGAAGATAAACTTGTTCTCATCGACCACCATCTTTTAATTAATTGATTGATTTAGAGAGAGAGAGGTAGGGAAGTGCGAACCAAGCTTTTAAGATTTACAAAGGTTTCCCAGCCTCCACCATTCATATTATTATCTATCACTGAAGGGAAAATCTCTGTTTTCGATAATAAAAACACCATATGTTTCTTCCTTGATTGTTCATTCGATTGTTTTGGTTATTTTTTGTAGAGAATGCTACTGGCGAAAAGGAGTAGAATTTTAAACATTCTTCATTGAATCCAGCAGCTCAGCAGATGTTAGCTCACTTGGCACGCCTGGTGAAACCCAACAAAGCCTTCAAATGTTGGAGCCAAAGCAAGGCTCGAAGCTTGCTCCAGGCTGCTGAGGAAAACCCCAGCTCCGACAGCTTTTTGTGCGACAGTGCATAGTCTTCAAAGAATGCTTCTTCATCCTGTAAAGCATAATGAACGAAATAATGGCTCTTGAAGTGGAACTGGGCAATGCAAAAACAGTACATGATGGATGAGCAGTAAGTAGCATATCAGCAGCTAGTTAGTTACCTTGGCATATAAAAGGACTAATTCGCGGAACTTGGGATCTTCCATAAGAGCCTTGTCAGTAGGGAGCTTTAGCAGTCCTTGTGATTCTCCTTTTGTCAGCTCCCTGAATGAATTCCAGGATGAAACAAACCGTCAATGCTCGCAATTTTGTTGCTAAAATTGATTAGGGAGTGAAAGATCCTGCGCTTTTTGCTTACACAAAGTAAGAGTTATCAAATTTGAATGGTTCCTTGGTCCATGGACCTTCAAAACCTGATCTCTCTGCGTGTGCTCTTCCCTGTGACAAAAATTTGTGAAACGTAACCAAGAATTAGTTGATCTAGAGCTCAAGGTGAGAGGAGGAAAAAAAATTTATGAGAAATAGCTACCAAAGTGTGGCCTCCAGAGAGTGCAACAATGTCTCTGTCTGAAAGTCCCATTCTGTAAAAGACATCCCTGAGGTGGGAGGGACCTTGGGTTGGATTGGGAAGCCGGCCTTCTTCAGGGGAATCTCTTATGTCCTAATTTGATTATATCAAAGATTGTATAAACGAGAGAAGAGAAGAGACAGTACACAGAAGAAATACAGTTATTTCGTTGCGACCTTTCTGCCTGGAACAAAGTCAACTGTCGGACCCCCTGTGATCTCAACGGCAACAACCCCTGCAAGCTATTTTATGTGCCTCCCCGCAGCAAACCAACGATGGAAAGGAAACCCAAATTAGTAAAAGGCGAAAAACTGTTACACAGTGACGGTAAAGAACAAGTTGAATAAATAATGTGCCTGCCTGGTACAGATCTGCGTAGGTGATCCTGGGATGCCTGGACTTGACTATTTCTGGAAAAAAATGAGAAACAACCCATGAGCCAAGCCGGAAGCAAATTAGTCAAGTATGGAAGGAGGGAGAAGAAGGTGACCGCAGAAGTCAATGGCCGTGTTCAATCCAGAATTGGCGGCGTGAGACAGCTCATTCCGACCCCGGATCGACCCATTCGGCCCTCCGGTCCTTGTTTTCGCGTCGTATGTCCCCGCATCATGCCATCTTGTGTTGTTCAATTTGTTGGTTGGTGTTCACCGTAAAAATGCAGAATATAATTAGGAAGAAGAGAATACGTAGAGTAGAGATAAATATATATATAGTGTAGGAAAAAAGAAAAAGAGAAGAGAAAATGTACGCTAAGCGAAGCATGATGGGAGCGCATTGCTTGGCGTAAATAAGAGCGCGAAGACGGCGGCGAGCCTTGTCGATGTCCTTCAAGTAGTCTGCATCCACCACCGGCCCAGTTGCTGCTGCCATCGGAGGACAGGACAGGTCGAGGAAGAATAATAAGTTGGAGGGAGTGAGTTGGTTGGTTGGTAGTTATGCCGCCTCTGCAGCTCTCTTCATTGGAGCATACATATATATAGAGGAAGATAGGGAACAGGGGAATCGGAGTAGAAGAATGGATTGATTCTTCTCTGCTGGTCGGGATTGTTTTGCTGCAGAGAGAGAGAGAGAGAGAGAGGTCGGGAAAGTGAAAAGGGAGATACCAATACCAATACCAATACCAAAACCAAAACGCAAGTGTTATATATGGCGTGAGGATGAGACGATCCCATGCTTAATTGGTTGCCGACTTGCCATGGCGATACAGGAAGCAAGCAGCAGATTCTATTATATATGGCAGATGACGCGCATAGGATGGACAACACAGGTTCCATTCTTGGATTCAACTCGATGCGCTTGCTGGGCCTCACTAGCTATACAGCTAGCTATAGTAAGAGCTTCTTGCTCAAATTTCGGCGACAGCAGCTGCTGCACATTTTCTCGACTTTGGAAGGGTTTCTCTAAACTGTTAGTTCGAATTTTCAGCAAATCTCGTGCTTGCTTGTGGAGTTGGATTTTCAATGAAAACAAGCAAATTACAATTTTCGTCCTCCTGTTTTCACCGTGAACAAAGAAATCGATGTCCGAGCATCTTGAGCGGTGAGCGGATATCGGGCATGCCCTCCTAAATCTCTGCTTTGCAGACTCCAAATTGAGGCAGAGGATCTCCCACCCACAACCTTACTGGGATTTTCAGGGTGCATCTGTTGTCAGGGGCGGATACATGAGGGTTTAGGGGTGTCCCGGAACACCTCTAAAATTTGGGAATACGATTATGCAATCTCGGTAATAGTTTTGTATGGATAAAAAAAATAATTAGTGATTCGGGATACCCCTACAATGATAATCCTATCCTCAGTAGTAGTTTGCGTATACTTAAAAAAAGTTAAGCGATAGTCTGTGATATTCAAACTTAGGATATACTACATTTTTTAAACATTGTTCTCCATTAAGTTGCAACTCATTTGTTGTTCTATTTTAAACACTACATAATAGTAAAAAGTTATTCCTTATCCCCGACTATTTCCAAAACCTAATAATTAAACTAATTACGGGTTACCCTTAATTTGAATTAATTTTATGGTTACACAACAAGTATAGAAAGAGTCTTTTCAATTTTGAGTTACATCAATAACAAGGTTAGAAATCCATATGCGATCAGTTCGTGAACTATTGTCTAATAGGATATACAGATTTGTACCCTCCACCTCCTGCTGCTTCCGTGACTAGAATTTACATGGGGATCGGATTAGGTGGACAAGTAAGAAACAAGAACGAACTAAGACAAGATTTTGGCGGGGAGGATCGAGGATTCTGGGTTTGTTTGAGGTTCCCGTGTGTTCAGAGAATGGGAAACAGAACTGATGTCATAGGAAGAATATTTTGATGATTGTGAATTAGCCTGAAGAGAAAATGATGTGGTCATTTCCAGATAGAGGGTTCGGATGAGATGAACCAGCTGCAGATTGGGTTCGTTGTTTGTTCTAGATTAAGGGTTTGGAGGAGAGGAGGAAGCAGTTTGGGGTCATTGCCATGGATCAACAAGGCATACAATTAAACATCTATCCTAATTCTAACACTAATATAAAGAAGTTCTCAACGAAAATATGTTTAATTCTAAATTTCCAACAACTAAGTAAATTTAGGAAAGACATTTTTGTTCTTTGAATATTTTTATCTTGTTAATTCATAAAAATCGAAACAAAAGATTTTGTTAATTATAGTAATTGAAAAAAGATGTCGTTGCTAACTTTATTAAAACCAATTAATATATTATTAATTTTAGTTAATCAATTATTATATTATTAATTTTAGCTAGGTCTAGGGTGGTGACTTGTGCGTGTGTCTATACTCTATACCCTTTATAGATTAAATTTTTTATTTTATTTTATTATAAAGTTAATTCCTTGAGACAATTTCTTATATGTGTAACTTTCTAATTAACTAATTCTTAATAACTTAACTAAATAAATTGAATATTTTAGGTGTTTAAAACTTATGTTTCCATATTATTATCAAACCGTTACATTATTTCCCGTTCATTTGGTGGCTCCCGTATTAAACACGTATAAAATCTATATAACACGTTTAATACCCGTATTTGATAAAAGAAATTTGTAAATTGAATATTATTTATACCTATATGAATTTTTAAAATAAAAAATTCCATATATTTTATGAATATTAACGTATTATTAGATGTAACATTAGTTTATAGACGAAGTAAAATATCCGCACGTATTTTATACATAACATACTCATATTGTATTTTACTAACTATGTAAAACACGTACAAAATATAAAATCAACGCGTTAATGAGAATTGATAATGGTGTATTGGTTTTCTCTTAGAGTGATGAAATGTAGGTCACAATCTCTATCTAGAGACTAGAAGTTCGAAGTATAGAAACAATAGTTGGATAGTTTGTATAGCTTTCTTTTACCATGGCAGCATACAGATAACTACATCTGCTTTCTTTTTTCATCACTTTGCTTCATTTTGATCTAATATTAGTGAGAGAATTATATTAGTGCAATTATAATTTTTATCAAAACTTCCTTAGACACTAACATGTTACTTTTTGTGTTACAATTGCTTCAGTATTATTGAGTTTATAAGTTAATTCATATTATGATATTGAGTACTATGCTATTGATTCTACACCTAAAAAATATATTCACCTTGGAGAATCACCTTATTCATAATACATTGTCTCACTACGATATTCAAACATTCAAGTAAAAGGGACGGAATTTTGGTGCATAACCTTCTTTGGTTTTAATCGGCACAAACCTCACGAGCAATAGTTAAGGGATTTTCAATATCTCACAAATTTAGCAGACTATATCTCATTGGGTTAAATGCCACATTTGGTCATTGGGATTACTAAATCGTGTTATGTTTAGTCACTAGAAAAAATTAATATCAATTTTTGTCACTCGGATTACTAAAACAGGTTACATTTAGTCACTCTCCCGTTCGCCTCCGTCCAACTCCGGTCACTCGAATTACTTTTTTTTATGAATGTTACTCGAATTTTTGAAACATGTCACATTTAGTCACTCTTCGTTAGCCTCCGTCCAATTATGTTAATGAAGTTGGATGGAAACTAACGGGAGAGTGACTAAATGTGACATGTTTCAGTAATTCGAGTGTCCAAAATTGATATTATTATTATTTTTCTAGTGACTAAACTTGACATAATTTAGTAATCTCAGTGACCAAATATAAAATCAACGCGTTAATGAGAATTGATAATGGAGTATTGGTTTTCTCTTATAGTGATGAAATGTAGGTCACAATCTCTATCTAGAGACTAGAAGTTCGAAGTTTAGAAACAATAGTTCAATAGTTTGTATAGTTTTCTTTTACCATAGCGACAAACGAGTAACTACATATGCTTTCTTTTTTCATCACTTTGCTTCATTTTGATCAAATATTAGTGAGAGAATTATATTAGTGCGATGATAATTTTTATCAAAACTTCCTTAGACACTAACATGTTACTTTTTGTGTTATAATTGCTTCAGTATTATTATGAGTTTTTAAGTTAATTCATACTATGCTATTGAGTACTATGTTATTGATTCTACACCTAAAAAATATATTCACCTTGGAGAATCACCTTATGGCTTAATTGCAAGTTTGGTCACTCGAATTGCTATAAAATTTCACGTTTGCCACTCAAAATGATTTATTCCATTTATAGTCACTCGAATTAGTTGAACAGTTCAAGTTCGGTCACTGTCCGTTAACCTCCGTTAACTTTGACTGACGTGGCGGTCAACTCTGACAGTTGACCGTTAAATGTGTGATGTGGCAAATAAAAAATAATTAAAAAATAAAATTTTTAGAAATTACACATCATTATCACAATAAATTATAATTATAAAAAATGAAAAAAAGAAATTCCTTCCACGTAATTATCACAAAAACAAACAACACGCCACCATCATCTTCCTCACTAGTTTACGTATACATATAAATACCCCTCTCCTCCTCCTCCCTTAATCCTCCATCAACAACCAATACGTAAACACACTTCATACACATTTCCAATAAACACCTCAATAATAACAACAATAATAATAATAATAATAATAATCCCCACCGCCATTCACAATACCATAAACAAAATCCGCCACTAGAATAAGAGATCACACAATAATGGCGGTGAACAAGAAAGCAATCGGAATAGGAGTCTCCATCATCCTGGAGGTCGGAGTCTGCATCGCCGTGATCGCCAGCGTCTCCAAGACCCACGGCAAGGGCGAACCCACGGAATCTGGCCACTCGAAGTCGGAGAACTGGTAAAGACTAAAGAGATTTAGGGGTTTGGAGCTTTGTGGATTCGATGGTCTGCGACCAGACCCCGCCGACGGAATTCGAGAACTCGAACACGGTCAGGTCGAGCCCCATTTCCGTTAGGTGCTTGCAGGCGAGCAAGCAGCTCATTTCGGCGCCGACGACGGCGATTCTCTTCTTCCCCTCCGCTCATTCTGGGAGTTTGTGTTGTTTGTTTTTGTGATAATTACGTGGAAGGAATTTATTTTTTCAATTTTTATAATTATAATTTTTTGTGATAATGATGTGTAATTTCTAAAAATTTAATTTTTATTTTTTAATTATTTTTATTTGTCACGTCACACATTTAACGGTCAACTGTCAGAGTTGACCACCACGTCAGTCAAAGTTAACGGAGGTTAACGGAGAGTGACCGAACTTGAACTGTTCAACTAATTCGAGTGACTATAAATGGAATAAATCATTTTGAGTGGCTAACGTGAAATTTTATAGCAATTCGAGTGACCAAACTTGCAATTAAGCCATCACCTTATTCACAATACATTGCCTCACTACGATATTCAAACAGTCAAGTAAAAGGGACGGAATTTTGGCGCATAACCTCCTTTAGTTATAGCCGGCACAAACCTCAAGAGCGATAGTTAAGGGATTTTCCATTTTTCGCAAATTTAGCGGACTATATCTCATTGGGTTAAATGCCACATTTGGTCACTGTGATTACTAAGTAATCGTGTTATGTTTAGTCATTTTGTCATTCGAATTACTAAAATATGTCACATTTAGTCACTCTCTCGTTAGCCTCCATCCCACTCCGGTCACTCGAATTACTTTTTTTTTATGAATGTCACTCAAATTACTGAAACATGTCACATTTAGTCACTCTTCGTTAATGGAGTTGGACGGAAACTAACAGGAGAGTGACTAAATGTGACATGTTTCAGTAATTCGAGTGACCAAAATTGATATTATTATTTTTCTAGTGACTAAACATGACATTATTTAGTAAACTTAGGGGTCGTTTGGAAGTTGCGATTGTTAGCATTGTATTTGTTAAATACATGCATTGTCCACAATACAACGTTTGGAAGTGTCAAGTTGCAAAACAATGCATGTATTATTTTGTGTGCGTCCCACCAACAATCAACAAAAATGAGGGATTGGACAATCTCAACTAAAAGCTGAGATTGTTGTGATTGTTGGTTTAATAATTGAGCACATTTACTTTTTCCAATTATGTCCATAGTTCTTTTTGTTTTATATTAAAAGTGGAGGACAAATATGACATTTCCTTATAAAGTAACTTTATAACAATCAATTCATAAATTATAATCTCAACAACCAAACAATGTAATTTCAAAATGCATCTATTGTATCAATGCATGCATTTATATCATAGTGATTCATAACAATACAACGATTTAAGATACACAACTTCCAAACGACCCCTTAGTGACCAAATGTGTCATTTGCCAACCACTATGATGAGTAATTTCATAAGAATTGTAAAACAACATAAAACAATAGTATTTAGGTAATAATCTACCTCTACTCTTCTATTGTTTTTAACTTCAAGTTCATTCGTTAGAGAGAAAACAACGTACCCACTAAAACGTAAAGTTTTTTACCAAATAATGTATCTCAAATGTTGTTATTTTATGGATATCTATGAGTTGTATACAATATTTGTATACTCTAACTTTATTGTTATCTATCGTGAGAAAGCTAGATTTTTTAGAATATTTATTGAGAAACTACTCAAAGAGTAACAAAATGAGAAAACATTCACCTCCTCATCCTATACAAACCGAGAGCATGAAGTTAAATTTTTAGTTCAAGTTCACTGATTACAGCATCGGGAACCCCAAATATACGGTCTATGGTCCAAACCGAGAGGCTGAAGTATAGATCACATACCAGATCACAGACTATACGGTCCGGTCCAGATCACTCCTGTGCGGTCTGGTCCATATAAACCACACTCAACGAAAAATGAACAATTTGTTTAGTCACCACACAAAAACTTGAACCAATAACCAAGGAAAAATATTTTTTTTTTGTATTAATACATTAATTCTAACATGCATGAATAATTTTGACACCCTAAATCTTAGTACATAACAAAGATACAAAGTAAAGCATTCCAACTTGCACCATAATGTCATAAACATTAACATAATTTCACATAGAGACATTATTATCTCTACTCTCTAGTGAAATGTGGTTGTGAATGAAGGAGGGGATGAGATTCTCAAAATTAAGGTTGAGACTTGGGTGTCATTGTGGGAGTTGGGAGAGTGGTCGAATGAGTTGTTAACACGTATTGAAAAGTTGGTTGGGTCCACGGTTTGGTCTGGTAAATCACGGTCTAGACCAGACCAGATCAAGAAATCAAAACATCAAATATTATAGGCCATGGACCAGACCAGACCATGCTTAACGGTCTACGGTCTGGGAAAAATTGTGCGGTCCGGTTTGGACCACGATTTTTCTAGCAGTCTGGTCTATTTTCCCAGCCCTAACATCTAGGGCTAGGAAACGTTGCGGTCTGGTCCAGACCAAGGGATTAGAACACAGACCATAGACCAGACCAAATACTATACGGTCTGGTCCAGACCACACCAGTGTGATTTGGTCCGGTGCGATCTGGACCAGGAAAATCAAGTTGACTATTGAGTTAAAAATAAATAATTCATTTGTTCCACCAAGCTGAAAATCGAATCAGTAACTAGAGGGAAAAACTGTTAAACACACCATTTTGTCTACCAAGTCATCAAACAACCACTACAAGGCAACATAACATGTTCTAAAATCCATGATATAACAATAATGCTTCAGTCGCAGCTTTAGCCTTTAGCGCCCCCTCATCTACCTGCATACGAGAATTAGGGGGTTGAGTGCAGTGGCTTGGAGAAAGAAAATCCCCCGCAAGGGGTAAAGGTGGATCAGAGGAGTGTGGGAGGCTATTAGGAGTTTCAGGGACCCTCTGGGATGATGGGGAGTCATCAGGGATAGTTACCAATTGGGAGTTCGTATACTGGGGTCAAGTTACCGTATTTGGGCGGAAGTAAACAAAGCTAGAGGAGGAGGCTGGCCATAGTATTGGAGTCCTCTTAGTTGGCCCCACATCCTCCTAGATTGGGGGTCAATAAACAATGTCTTAAATTTAATAAATAATAAGTCCTATAAACTACAAAGTGCAACTTCAATGCCACCATCTCCTTGATCTTCATATGTCCTAGTCCCACCCTTCGGTATTGAGGAATATATCATCACTTCCTCTAATATTTTTGTTAACACTAGAATCTTGAACTCTTCCTCTCTCTCACCCTCCTACTCATCCATAACGACATTGTAAACTAAGGGGTCATTTGGATGGAACAATTGTCAAATGAGTCAATTGGCCACATTGATCCATTTCAAAAATGCTTCATTTCATGTGTGAGGAAATTTGTTGAAATTGTTTCGTTTGGATCCAGAATTTAGGATGAGTCAATTTACATTTGTCCTTTTGTGCAAATAATGGTTAACTACCTAAATGCCCTCAATTATATTTTATTCATACTTTCCTTTCCTTCCCATAAAAACCTCTTCCTCTACTAATGATTTCTATTCTTCATCAAAGAAGCTCCCCCATCTCTGCCAAAAAAGTAGCTCGACCATCACTCATTTCCAACAATGAAGAAAGGTGAAACCAAGAAGGGAGGAGATAGCAGCAGAGCCAATTTCATGGCTGACTTGGTAGAAGAAGAAGAGGTCTATTGCGGGTGTCCATTTGAAGCTGTGATGAGGATATCCAGAACCTCCAGAAACCCTAATCGAGCATTCTGGGCATGCTCGCAGTACAGATCAAAGGTAAGTTCTGTAACCCATCTCTTACTTTAGGTGCTGGTAATTTGGCTGGTGATATTGATAGTCTCTTGATCCTTCATTGCAGTGGGTAAAGTACAGACTAGTGCAGGCAGAGGAATATGGCTTCTTTATGATATTTCCTCCTCATTTTTTGGTGTGAATTACTTTGGTTGCTTTGCAGGCTGAACCCGGGTGTGGCTTCTTTGATTGGTGTGATGTCCGAGCTGTGCAATTCAAAGAGCAAAGACTTCGGAATGTGATCGCCAGATTGCAAAGTAAAGTCTGCAGCCTGGAGAAAGAGAATGATAGGTTGGTTCAGTTGTTGGCTGTTAGTCGACCAACATCTGCTGCTGCTTGTGATCAATTTATGAATGTCGACAATAGGGAGATTGAAGTGGTGAAACAGAGATTGACTCAAGTGGAGAGGCAACTTAGTCGAGTTTGGATTAACTAATTGTTGTCATGTATGAATGCCTAAATAATGCAGCAACTCTTGTATTGTTTATGTTTGTAGAATGAAAAGGCTGAAAATGGTATTGAATAGGTCTGATGTACCAATTATGTGTGTAATGGAATCTTGTTATGATGTAAGTGTTATAATTGTTGTGTTATGATGGAACAAAGACGAGTGTGCTTATAACTATTGGATGTACAGGTCTCTTTATAAGTCAAGATTTTACCATCTGCAAAATATAACTGAAATAAAATGATGTTTGTATAATTAAGTGGACTAGTGTAGTAGAATTGAGATAGTAATCTGATGAAACAAGGACAACTGATGAAATCTGTTTGAAACAAGAAGTTTGCAAAGCAGCTTATACAAGCTGGACATGGTAAAGCATAATCCTATTAGATTTATAATAAGCTGGGTCCTGCATTTACAATAAGGATACTTACATACTTGGATTCTGGAATATGCACTTTACAAAATACAGCCTGCATATATGGATCTTGTTCTCCATCGAAGTTGCAGCTCCTATGAACCATACTTATACATCTTTACAAAAGAACAGGCTGCCTTACATTTTGCAAAGACTGTCATTGAGTGTGCTTCTCAATGACAGATAGACAAAAACACAAGCCTCTTTGCAAAATAGACAACATTAGACCTAATATATCATACTGCAGTAGCTACATAGGTAGTGGTAACTACCCCTCATTCATCTTTTTATGAGGTTAAGAACTAGTGTCAGCTTGTCTTCTTCCTTCTCCAGCTGATAGAAGACCTTTAGATCACCAGAACTGTTGGAAAGCTTACTCACGGCTATTATCATTTGAATCCTGGTGAGTCCCTCCATTTTTCCAAGTTCTTCAACAAATCCTGGCGCATAGTATTGTAATCCTGACTCTCTCCTAGTGCCCGTGCAATAGTGTTCGCAGACTCTCTAATAAGAGGCGTCAATCCTCTCAATTCAGCACAAACCTCAGCCATTGGGTCTTCATTTTGTAATTTTTGCTTCTTCTTCTTCTGAGAAGGACCAGCCTCTGCAGATGCACTCGACCGCTTCTTGTTCAATCGAATTTCCACCCCATCATTAATCATATTCAGCATTGCTTCATCCATATTTGCACTATTCATTTGGTCCAAAGGATACGGCGGGCTGTCATCCTCGTCTGAGCTATCATCCTCGACTTCCTCTATGATGGGATCATTACCAGAAAATCCATTATCACCAGTGGCACGACCTTTCCCGAATACTGTCCCCAGATCAAAGAACTGTGGGAATGGGACGCGTTTGTAGGTCTTGCAGTCACTATGGCTCTGCAATTTATATTCAATTCAAATGAAAAAATCAGCAGCTAATAAACTTGACAGTCACTAGTACTCAACCAACTTGACAATCAATAAACTTTTCAATCTGTCTCACCTAACAGACTTAAATGTATCACCTGAACACTTTAAATTTATGTAACCATACCTTCAAAAAGTGGTCCCATACTTCATCAGATGCATCAACATATGAGCCCACCTCGTTCCACCCAAAACCGCTCTGAACCCGCATCATAACAGTGTTGTGATACCAATGCTTCAGCTTCTTAATCCTAGTTTTAATAGCTCCCTTTGCCCTCAAACCACATCCTGGTACAAGCTTTTCCATCATCCTCTCGATCTCCTTAAACACACCATTGTTGCACGTACCATCCTCTATTTGCCCCTTCTCCGTTAACTCTTGAAGGCATTGAAGAATGGGACCATCATGCTTGGAATCCCAGAAGGTATAAGCCCTAGTACTAGCTACAGCATTCCTTCTTTTCCTCATGGTTACCTATGACATCAATTAAACAATCCAAAAACGGAAACCCAATAAACAAATACCCAACATATTAGATAAAAAGTATCAGTTACATACATTAATAGAACCATTATCAATTGAGTAGGGGAAAGTTTAGTAGTCCAAAAGCAAGGCTACCCCACTGGCCAACATGACAGATTAAACTACAAAGATCCACACAAGATCCAAAAGCAAGGCCACCGCACTTACATCAAGATCAGCTAGTTCAAAAATGATAAAAGTACAAAGATACACACACAATATTAAACTCTAGAGCTCCTACTTTCCCACATTGCCACTGCTTTGTTGTTCCTAAACTGGGTCCAAGCTGGACATGGTTGCGTGCTAGTAGTGTCGATGGTCTCAACTTCAGTTACTTCATATTGTTCCGGTTCTTCATCTTGATACCGTAGCTCAACAGAATCAGCCCCCTGTTCCCTTTTGATGAAATTATGGATTATGCAACATGCAACAACCAAACGCGCCATCTCTTTTGGAGTGAACCAAGATGTATTCCTAAGAATAGCCCACCGCATTTTCATAATGCCAAAAATATGCTCAATCACATTTCTAGCTGAAGAATGCTTCATATTATAATATTCCTCGGCAGTTTCTGGTCGATTTGCACCCCATTCTTTGAGATGATATCGCTGACCACGATATGGAGTCAAAAAACCAGGGCTATTCGCGTACCCAGCATCAGCTAGGTAATAACAACCTTCATTCAAATAGAAAATGCTTATTATTGTTACTTAGCTAATCAATTTTTTGGGATTTGTTAAGCTAACAAATAAATTTAACAATTATTACCTTCTTGCACGGTAAGGCCATTTTCCCTAGTAAGGGCATCACGCAACACTCATCCATCGTGTGCAGACCCCTCCCATCCAGATAAACAATAAACAAATTCCAAGTTGGGTGTGCAAACACCCAACACATTCATCGAAAGATCCCCCTTCCTATCTCGATACCTAGTTCGTTCCTCTTTCAATGGTCGAACAAGAATATGAGTTCCATCTAGGGCTCCAAGGCATTTCTTTCAAAACCACGGTAAACAACGTTCAGGATTTGATTGAAAGTAACAAATTAAAGCAATAAAAGATTGGAGAAACATTTTAGGAGTTAACCTTGAAATGTTTCCATCTACTATTGGTACATGTTTGAGGAATGGGCACTGGCTTCTTCATCAGCTGGTTGTTTAGTCTAAGAACAACCCGCAATACACAATGAATAGTTCGAGATATTGTCTCCCCCGAACGACGCAAATTGAGCCTTAGGGTTCTATTTTTCTCGTTATGTGATATAGTTCGCAAAAAGATATAGACCATCTCATGCTCATCTATATCCACGTGTTTAGTTTTTTTCAGCCCTCCCTCACTAACTAGAATCACACAGAACTTTCGAAATAGGGTGTGATTCATCCTAACTTGGTCGAAGGTGTCAATGTCAGACATCCTAGTAGAATTTCTAAGGTGTCTCTGTCTATCATAGTGCCTCTCCAGGTAGGTGTCCAAAGGTTGCCTACTAAGTCTAGGACGGGTGTAATTTTTTGATGCAAGCACAGCTAGTTCGATACCTAGACTAACGCAGATCATAATAAGGTTGGAGAACGAACAAATAGCTGCAACCACCTGCCGCCTACGAGCTGGAGCTAAAGTTGATAGCCGTGACATCCTTTACAATAGGTAGAATCCATAATTAGTGTATAATTAATATATTATGTATGTATATATTGTTAGAGGGCTTATCACGTTAGCTTCCAACACAAAATGAAAATAACAGAAGATTTCTCATGTCTCTTTTAAGAAAAGTAAGCACAGCAAGGGGGAAATGGTAGCAAACAACTAATTGCAAGCATATAGAAGCAATAAAGGAGAAGGGTAGACACGGGGAGGAAATTGATTCTGACAAATAATCCCCAGGCAAACAATAGATCTAACTTTACCGTACGAGGAAGGGAAGATGAAGGATAGAGGAACACTACCATCGCCAAAATCCCAAGGCAAACAAAATAGGGTTTAACAGCAGATATAAGCACAAAGAAATTTTTAGGGTTCTGAGAAAAAATCCCCAGTTGTTTGGGTGTATAAATAATATAGATTGGCTTTGGACATACCTGACCCGATCGTTGACGACGATAATCTCACACCTCTTCTTCTTCGTATGAACTCGACGCCACCAAGCTTCTTCACCAGTAATCGCCAATCGCCGAGCTCGACCAGATGCGGCAATATATGGAAGAAGAAACAATATAAAGAGGAATAAAGGGGTCGTGAGGAGGGGAAGAGAACAAGGGCATAATTGCAAACAAAAAAAAACGAAACAATTGGAATTGTCTCCCCCCCCCCCCCCCCTCCCCACCAGGTATTTCTAATTGTCCCATAACGCGTCAAAGCATATTTTCCCAAAGCCCAATTGCTTCATCCGATTTTTGCACTGCCAAATGGGCTAATTTGGCCCAATTGATTCATTTTGAGTCAATTGGTACAAATTGATCCATCACATAGTTCCATCCAAACGACCCCTAAGTAAAAACAACAAGCAAGTAAATAGTGAGAAAATCCAACATTTATAATTCACAATAAATATTTGAAAAATCAAGCAATGAAAAACTAAAATAATAAGCATTACCATTAAAAAATGCTTCTTCATCCTCATAATCACCTTCAATATCATCATCCAACGACATAAAGGAACTTGATCTAAGACAATCCTCGCTATAGATTGGTGCTTCAACAATCTTAGGATGTAGACATATGAATAACAAAGATATCCTTGGCCATCTGAGCTAGGATAGGATACCTCGAATGATTTGCCATCCACCACATCAATACATCAAACTCGAATTGGGTTCCTCCAAATCCACTATCTTCACAAGGATGACCAGGATACATGTCCAGCTCAATTTTGAATTGACAAAGTTCAGGTGGCATGAAAGCTGAATCAAATCCAAGATATACTTCACCACCATCTTCAAAAAGAGGCCTCAAAGAACTAGAACTAGAAGCATGCACAACCTCACTTTCTATATGTGGTGGAGGAGGAGGAGGTGGGCCCACCCTTCCTGCTAATACTGAAACAATTCAATAAGTTCACCATTTAATTATTTTGACATTTCCTTTCCCCTTATCACCCCATACAGCTTCTTCAAAAAATGTCTCGGATAGCTCATTTTGTACCTCAGATCAAGCACAACAGCTATGTAAATTAATCGATTCAATCTATGATTCTCACCTCCCTCTCAGACCAACACTTATCGAACTTCTCTTTCATTTTCATTCCCATCCTTGCCACATCATCATCATTGCTACAACTCATTCTACCAATGTGGTAGAATGCATCACCAATCACATTTAAGAACATGTGATATCTTGTATGAGAAATGGAAGATGCAAGCAATGTCAAATCATGATAAAACTTCAGATATGTCAGCACAATCCTAGCACACTTCCAATCAGATTGTTGTGGGATCCCTATTTCTTCATTTATTCACTTTTTTGCTTTAAAATCTGGTAGGTAATCCATATCTTTCCTCACTAGAGTATGAAAAGCATCCTCATAAGCACAACTACTTCCAACATGAAAAAAGTAGAATTCCATCTAGTTGGCACATCTAAGCACAACATCTTCTTCATTTCAATGTCATTAAATGCCACACATTCTTTGAACGTGGCCAATCTAGAGGGTGAAGATTGAACCCATCTCACTGCCTCTCTCACTCTCCTGACAGACATGCCTATATTCTCCAAACCATCAGAGACAATCAAATTAGTAATATGAGCAAAACAACGCGTGTGTAGGTACTTCCCACCTACAAACACTAGTGCCCCATGCTTCAAGCTTGTTCCTCATATAATTGGCTGGAGTGTCATTGGCACTACTTAGTATACTTGTCATTGCTAGGGTTAGATGTTTTATGGTGAATTTAATTAACAAAAAAATAAATTTAGATTTCTTTCTGGAATTTGAAAGTTAAATGTTGATTTTATCTGTTTGATTCAAGCATGAATGTTTAGATGTTCATTTTATTTATTGGATTTAAGTACAAATGTTTGTATGTTGGCGTTGAATGTTAAATTTAAATATGAGGATTTTTCATTTTATTTGAAGTATTATATTTTATTTAAATATCTATGTAGGTTTTATAAAACTTCTCTTTAAATATGTAATATTTTTCTAAATTAATTTAATGTCAATAATTTTTATTTTCCAATATATTTTACTAAAATCCGCATGAACACACATACCGGTTAAACCAGTTGTACTGTCTATCGAACTAAACCACTTGCAATACTGACGGTTTGACTAGGGGTGGGAAATAGTGCGGTTGCGGTTAACTGCACCGTAATTCACAGTTAACCGCAACCGCAAAGTGTCCATATTAACCAACCGCGACCGCACCTGACACGGTTAACGATGCACCACAGTTACTGGCGTCACCAACCGAGCAGGTCTTGGATTTACTAGACGAGAAGGGACGCGACAGAGGGATTTTCGAACGACGACACTCTGTCACTCTAGGTCTGGATGCTGGAACGATCGCACTGTCGCGGTAGCGGGTAAAGTGTCGAGCTTGCGGCTGTGCTGCGCCACTGAGTGCCGAATTGCTGTGCGACAAGGGTCGACAAGGGTTTGCTACTTAGATTGCTTGGTGACAATGGATGACGATGGCCGGATTTGCTGGGCGACAAAGGTCGACGTCTCAACTTTCTCTCAAAGCCTCTCTTGACGAACGACGACGATTCAAGCTGGGATTTGAGATGATTAGGGTAGAGATTTGGACATTTGGGAAATACACTCACAAAGTGGGGGAAGGGGTGGGGCGGGTCCGTGTGGGTAGTGGGCTTGGGTGGGGTTTGTGACTTGGCTGGTCTGAAAATAGAATTGGGTTGTGCTTGCGGTTAGCACTATCGTTAGGGCTATTTTTGGTTTTGGTTGCAATTAAATCGCCAACCGCAAAATACCCAATACCGACAAGGCGACAACCGCAATTGAAAAAGAGGCTGTTTTTGCGGTTTACGGTTCACTACTAACCACACGGTTTTGGTGGGTTAACGATTTAAAACCGCAACCGTTCCCAGTAGGAGTGAACAAACACACCCGTAAACTGACCCACCCGTCCAACCCGACCCAACCCACCCATATTTATCGCTAAAACGAAGGTTTTGGGTTGGGTGAGGGTTTTCTTTTGTACAACCCGCCTTTATTGGGTTGGGTTTGTATTTTGGATTACACAACCCGTGGAACCCGACCCAACCTGTGTTCCAACTATTGGTAGGAGTTGGTATCCAAAAATATTTATGTCATATATAGCCATACTATGCGAAAATTAAGATATTTCGCCGTGTTTTTCTCTCATGGTCTCCCTAATCTAGGCATTCTTCGGCTTAAAGTTTAGACATAAATTTAATATAGCTATGATTCACATAATCCTTTTTCTTGTGTACAATTTTAATAGAATAACATATTACGGTGCATTCGTTTATAACCTTTTTAGCCTATTTCAACAAATATCGTGAAAAAAACTAGACATATGTTGGAGTAAATCACATTTTATTAAAACTTAAACAACATTTGTGAAATTTGATACCTTTCACCTCAGTTTATTTGTTTGAAATTTAGTTGTTAATAAAATATTTTTATAGTGTAGAATAATTATATATTTTGTGTTGTGTTGGGTTTTTACTTAAAAATATAGTCAACCCGACCCAACCCAATTAGAAACTGTTTGAGTCTGACTGAGTGTAGGATGGAGACTCGGGGGAATAAATGGGGGTGAGAAGAATAAGCAATACAAACACTTAATCAGTTGGGAGGGTAACGGCACCAAAGAAGGGAATTGAGAGAAGTTAGATCTTAGAGAGAGAAGTTGATGTTTTTAGTGATAGTCTCCGAAAAATCCGATTCCCCCACCCACCGGAGTAAATGCTCTATTTATAGGACACATTGCGGTGGGTGGATATTTAATGCGACATGACTACTACGTGTGTCAGATATTTAGGTCATGCCTTAGGCCATAATTATACCTAGGACTAGGATGTGACCGTTCCATCAGAGGATACGATGTCGTTCTTCTCGGTTCTCTTTCCCAGTTCAAATTAACCGAAACGACGCCATCTTGGGTAGAGCGAAACAACGACGGCTTAGGCAGAGCGAAACGACGCCGTCTGGCGTCTCTGAAGCTCGCGGACGCGTCTCTACTCGCGGATCCCTATGTCGCGGTTTGGGTAGAGCAAAATGCGTCGTCTAGTGCCTACATCACTCGCGGACACGTCGTTACTCGCGGAGCACTATGTCGCGGGAGGTTTGCTGGGTCGTCTTACTTGCGCGACTGGACCCGAGCTATACCCCCAACAATTGCCCCCATCAGGGGGTATTTTGTGAATGCCGCATGTTCTGGTTTTGCGCGGCAGGCTCGGTTCCTCGCGCTTCACGTTCACTTTCTTGCGCTTAGTTGTTCGTGCCCAATCTTCTCGCTGTCTCCACCTTTCTTCTTGCGCTCATACTAACCTTGCGCGATCAGTCTTGGTTTTTCGGATGTATTTTCTGAACTTCGCAGGTTCACTGTCTCTGCCTTCCTTCCTGTGCTCCTGCTGGCTTTGCGCGTTTTAAATTTGATTTTTTTGGGAGTATTTTTTGGACTCCGTGGGTACACCATGCCCCCCAGGCGGTGTGCGTACCCTATGACATCACCGCCTAGCCCCTACATTTTATAGGTGCTGACGTGGCGCTCTGTCATTCACTCTTTTGGGCGGCGGCTTTTTGAATTTCAAAATTCCTGACGTTTCCGGTTTCCAATGCAACTTTAACCCTTCGGTTACTCCTTCGTGGGTTATAAATACTCCTCTTTTTACGAAGAGGGGTTATTTTTCTTCTACCACTTCTACTTTGTTTCTCCCGTTTTTCTCTATCGACGAGATTCCTCTTCTTCTCCGACGACCTTAAATCTCGAGATTGTTCATAATATCTTTTCGGAGGCACAATGGCCAGCACCAATGTGAACAACGAGATCGAGGTCGTACCAGACGAAGAAGGTAATCTTTCTCCTCTCTCTCATATCTCTTCGGATACGTCTCTGGATCTGGCCGAGTCCAACAACAATCGCGGTGGCAGAGCAGATGAAGGAGGTGCTCCGGCGACGTCGTCGTACAACGTCAATTCGGGCCAGGATCTACTGCATGGTTTCTCCGATGTCGGGGTGGAGAATCGTGCCAGTGGTGAGGCGAGTATGCGTGCGCGGGGAGTGCTGATAATCCGCCACGATCGCGCGAGCGGGTCTGGTGCTGAGCCTATTGGTATTCCAGAGACATCATCGGTGCCGCTCTGCGTGTCTCGCGTGACTAAGGCGATGAGTCGTCTTAGGATGCATGGGGTGGGGGCCGCGTACACGATCTTGGATTGGAAGGAGATGTTCAACGCGGGGCAGGTTCCGAGTGATAATTTGGTGCGCGGGGCAGACCATGTGTCATTGTATGGGCGGCGGGAGGTGACAGAGTTGGTGCGTGGGTTGGGTTTGCCCCCCCAATTGGCAGTAATCAGTGCCAACCGTGCGAAGCCGAATTGGGAACTGCCCCCAGGCTGGTTTGGCGTGTATTCAGAGTATTGGAGGATGGGCTTTAAGTTCCCCATCGACCCTTTATTGTGCGCTCTTTATAGGCATCTAGGTTGCTCAGTCGCGTGCCTATCACCTTCCGTGATCATGCACGTGTCTTGTCTCCGCCTGGTTTGTAAGAGGTTGAATATTCACCCGACTTACGGGCTTTTTCAAAAGATATACAAGATAAAGGGGCCCACGGAGACGAGCGATTGTCTTTCCATCAGGCGGCGAGACAAGCGGCCCGATGGTTATGTGTATGGGTCTCCCAAGTTGGAGAATAACTGGTTTGAGCGGTTCTTCTTCGTGAAGCCCGTTCCGGGGGAGTGGGCCAGTGAATATGTGGAGGAACCGACTGTTTGGAAGAAAGGAAGTTTATGCGGCTTTGAGTCAGAGTTGGGCAAGTACGATGGGCTTGATGACGAATATGAGGCCTGCATGCCTCAAAGGATAAACTTGTATTCCAGCGGAGTCCGCGCGGCTTGCTTGGAGGAGCTCTTTGCTGATGGTTAGTTATATTTCTTTCCTCTTGTATTCTGTCGTATTAACGGCCGTCTTACGACTTATTGGCGCAGGAGTTGACTTCGCTTCACTAGTGAGCATGATGTCGGTTGACGATGTGGTGAAGGTTCCGCGCGGCGAGAAGAAGAAGAAGGAAGATGCGCGAGCTAGCGGCGCGAAGAGGAAGGAGGTGGAGCAACTATTGGTTGCGGACAGGCCTAAGAAGGCCGCGCGGGTGATCGAACAAACCTCGTCGCCGTTGTAGCAGCTGCCTTTGGTGATCACTGAACAAGTGGCGCGGGCGAGTAAACCTCCTCGCTCTGAGAAGGTGGCGGCTGCTAGTTCATCCAGGGCAACCGTCCAACAGACGTTGCCGGAAATGACCGCCATTAACTACTTCCACGATGTGCGAATCCACACTGGTGCGGCTTGGAACAGTTCGGCCGCTCAAGCTGCTCTACGAGCGGTTGGACTTATGCTCAGAGTCCCCACGCGGTTGGAGAAATCAGATCCGCTTTAGGACCTGGCACAGGTTCTTTTCGCTGTAAGTTTGGGTTAACCTTACGCGTATCGCGTCTTACTTGCTTTATGGAATTTCGCTAAGTCTTCTAGCGTTGCGAATGTAGGGTTTGTTGGCCACTTTCCGCGCTCAGCAAGAGCGGGACAAGGAACGCGCAAAGCTTAAGGCTAAGGAGTCAAGGATTGTACAGCTGGAAGGCAAGCTCGCTAGGGCGGAGAATCGCGCGGAGGTGGCGACGAATAAGGCCAACGAGGCTATGGAGCAGCTCGGCGTTTTGCAGAGCAAGCTGACGGAGGATGTGGAGGCGGTGAAGGAGTGGGTTCGGGAGGAGCTGCGGGGCGAGTTCGAGGAGGAGAAAAGGAGACTGGCCGACGAATGGGCGCAGGAGAAGAAGTAGTTAGAAACAGATCACGCGGAGAAGCTAAAGCAGGTCCGCGAGGAGTTTCAAAAGGAGAAGGAGGATTTGGCCAAGGCTGAGGCTGTGCGCGAAGCGCAGGTTGCTGTAGTCCGTCAGTACAAATCTTCCCCTTCCTTTGGGAAGATTTTGGCGGACGCGATGTCCAATGCTGTGATCGCGGTCCGCAAGAAGGTGCGACCGGAGAATCCGAGGGTCCGCTGGAACACTCACGCCATGATCCAGCATGTGTAAATGTGGTTGCGCGAAAAGAGATTTCTGGAGCCCGACTCTGAGTCAGAGGATGAGGAAGATGAGATGCGCACGAAAGACGAGGTGTGCCCGGAAGCTGCGGTCGAGGATGGAGAGCAGCTAAGGATGGGGAAGCTGATGCGGCAGCGGAAAAAGAGGCCGGGGCGACTACCACTGGCAATGTTGTTATAGATAAAGTGTTATCGCGCTACCTCGATGTCGTTTTTTTTATGTTATGTCGCGGTTATGGTCGCTCAATATGTCTTCTCGTCTCCCGTTAATGAAAATCCAACAGTTTCCTTCTCCTTTCATTCTCCTGCGTTGCGTAGTTTATTGATCAGCGCTTTATGTGCTTTTGCACACGTGGAGCGCGAGCGCGAATAATTCGTGATTATTGCTATTTTTTGTTATGTCGACTTTTTGCGTGATTCGTGATCAGCGTTTATGTATTGTTGCGCAGAGCGTGGGCTCTAATAATTCGTGATTATTGCTATTTTTTGTTCCGTCGAACTTTGTATTTATTTATCCGCGCAAATGCGTCACTGTGAACAAGATACACATCAAGTGGTCCGGTAATAATTCCTGAGATTCTGCGCATTCCACGTCCTTGGAATTTTGGCGCCGCCCAATTCGCTAAGCTTGAAAGTGTTGGCGCCGACAACCTCGCGGATTAAGTATGGACCTTCCCATGTAGAAGCGAGTTTCTCGTGCTTGGGGTCGGGGCGGAAGTTCCGACGCAGTACTTGGTCTCCGAGGGTCAGCTTGTGCGGGACTAGCTTCGCGTTGTGGTACTTTGCTACGTGCTCCTTTGTCGCGGCTAGCTTGATGGCCGCCAATTCTCGCCATTCTTGTGCTAATTTCAAGTCTAGTAGGTGTGCTTCTTTGTTATCCTCTTTGTCGTACATCATGATCCAATAGGTTGTGGCTATTGTCTCAATGGGGATCACCGCGTCGGTGCCGTACGTGAGCGCGAAAGGAGTTTTGCCTGTTGCCACTTTGAACGTGGTGCGGTGAGCCCATAACACCGTGTTAAGCTCATCAGCCCAATTGCCTTTGGCTTCATCCAGACGGGTGTGCAAGCCGTGCAGGATTGCTTTGTTTGCCGATTCTGCTTGGTTGTTGACTTGGGGATAAGCTACTGATGCAAATCTCACAATGGCCCCCACTTGGTCGCAAAAGTCTATCACCTCCGCACAGTCGAATTGTTTCCCGTGGTCGAATATGAGTGCATTAAGGACCCCGAAGCGTGCTAGGATGTTGTTTTTTAGGAAGTGAGTAACCTGATGTGCAGTTATCAAGGCTAGTGCTTCCGCTTTGATCCACTTGGTAAAATAGTCCACCGCCACGATTATGTACTTGCGTTTTCCTTTAGCCGTCGGAAAGGGGCCCAAGAGGTCCACCCCCATTGTGCAAAGGCCATGAGCTTAGATTGCCTTAAAGCTCAGTCGATGGTAGATGATGCTGGCGCGCGTTCAATTGACACTTGTGGCATTGGTCTGCGTATTTCTTCGTGTCCTTTTTCACTCGCGGCCAATAGTATCCATTTAGCAAGATGGTGCGTTCCATACTCCGCGCTCCAGTGTGCATTGTGCACAAACCTTCATGTAAGTCGTGCACTATGTTGCGCGCCTCATCTTGCCCGATGCATTTGAGGTATACGCCAGAGTATGACCGGCGATACAACTCCCCTCCAATGAGCGTGCATCGGGCCGCTTTTTGCCTTAAGGTCCACGCCTCTTTAGTGTCCTCTGGCGCCACACCGTCTTGTAAGTATTTTATGATTGGAGCTCTCCAGTCCTCTTCTTGCGTAATTTGTGTGGTGTTGATCATGACGCCTTGGTGGATTTCCTCTTCTTTTTGGACCGAGACTAGGCGTGTTGATTCAAAATCGGTGGCGGTTGCTAACTTGGATATCGTGTCTGCATGCATGTTTTCCTCCCTTGGTATTTGCACATAGGTCACCGCTTCAAAGGTACTTGCCCGTTGGTTTACACGCTCCATGTAATGCGCGAGCGTGTCCTCTTTTGGTTGACTGCCAGCAAAGAATCGGATAGAACCCTGATCGTTCTTGTGCGCAAGTCGTTGGCGGCCGTCATTCCCGCCAAGATGGCCTCATACTCGGCTGCGTTATTTGTTTTCAACGCTCTGAATCATATTGCTATTTCCTGGACGACGCTCGTCGGGGTGCACACGACGACACCCGCTCCGGCTCCATGTTTGCTCGTCACGCCGTCCACGTAAACCTCTCATACTCCTTCTGGTGTTGTATCGAGAGTGACTCCTTCAGCGATGAAATCTGCTAGAATCTAAGCTTTTATTCCTGGTCTTGGAGCGTATTAGATGGCGTACTCTGACAACTCGACCGCCCATTTAACCATTCGCCCGGACACTTCTATTGAGGTCAGGATCTTTTTCAGCGAAAGGTTGGTCAGGACGGTGATTGGGTGTGCTTGGAAATAGGGGCGTAATTTTTGCGACATGCTCACCAGCGCGAGGGCGGCTCTCTCTATTGGGGATTATCTTGTTTCCGCGCTAACAAGATTTTGCGACGTGTAATACACGGGCCGCTCAATCTGGTCGTCTCTCGTGGATATTAGTACCGCGCTCACAACTCTTGTCGACACGGCAAGATACAGAAAAAGTTTTTCATTACAGGGCGGTTAATACAGGGGGGAATATAAGATATGACTTGAGTTTTTTTAAAAGCCGCTTCACACTCTTTGGACCATGCGAATCGCGGGCCGCTTTTAAGCGTCTTAAAGAAAGGGGCGCACTTGTCAGCTGACCATGGTATGAATCTTTCTAGTGCCGCTATCTTGCCGCTCAAAGATTGTATCTCTAATGCACTCCTCGGCGCTCGCAGCTGTTGGACTGCAGTGATTTGTTTCGGGTCGTCTTCGATACCACGTGTGGTGCAGCTTTGACAGGTGCGGGCCAGTTGATTTTGTATCCTTTCTCGCGGAGCACGTGAAACACATTTTTTACTGAATCGTTGAGTGGTGTGTAGGCGGGCATGACATTTTGTGGGCGTCTGTCTGGTGAACGCCTTCGCGCAATTTGTCTGGCGGGGTGGGTGGTCGTCTTGGCCCGCTATGCGACTGTACCAACTGCTCCCGCGACAATGGGAGCTGCTTCCGCCCCTGATCTTCTCTAGGCGGCTTTGAGGGTTCGAAGCGCCTGATAGAACCCGCGCCCAAAGTTTCCTCCAGCGTGACGGCCTTCTTGATTTTGACCTTTAGTTCTGTCAAAAGTGTGACTGGCCTTTTTGCTAATGCCCGCTTGAGTTCCATGTTGGTGGTAGCGTCCATGAGGTGATGGGCGGCGGTTTCGGGGGTAAGGTCCTGCACGGCCATTGCCACCCTAGACCACCTGGTGTAGAATGCCTGTAAGCTTTCCCCATCTTTTTGCCTAATGTCGAACAAGGCCTTGAGGTGGAGTGGTCTTCTTTTTTGTGACGCAAACTTAGTGGTGAACAAGAGTATGAACTCTTCGAATGAGCGGATGATCCCGTTAGGAAGTCTGTTGTACTAATCGAGGTATATGCCGGAGAATGTTGATGGAAAGGTTCTGCATAGCGCCGCATTGGAATTTGTCTGGAGTTGCATCCTGAGGAAAAATGTACTGACATGGTCCTCCGGGTAAGTGGTCCCGTTATATGTTGGAGGGCGGGCGACATTCCGCTTAGGTGTTCCGCCATGATTTCCACGCTCAATGGTTGATGGAGAATTCTTCTGGGTGGGTGAGGGCGGTACTGTGGAGATAGATGTTGCTCCAAGAAGCTGAGGTCCGCCCTGCCCCGCAGCTCCGCTTGTTGCACTTCACGTGCGGGTGATGCGTCCAGCATCTATTGTGGCAGTGTGACAAGCTCTGGTGCTGGGACAGGTTCTGGCGCTCCACCTGCCGCCTGTCTCGGCGCGGTTGGTTCCATATGTGCTGTTGGCACGGCCTCCTTGCTCATCATGAGTGCTATAACTTGGCTCATCTTTTTTTGCATATTGGCTATGACTTCGTTTTGCTTCGCCATTTGTTGCCTCATTTCTTTGGTTGTTAGCTCGGGCTCTTCTTCTTCTTCAATGAGTACCGCGTTTAGATTACTGGTTTCCGCGAACATCCTTGGGTTCGTCATTGCCTTGATGGGCGTCACCTCGTCAGGTGAGTCGGGGGTGTGTTCCGCCATTGGTTGATTTTCTACTGCTTCTCTACTCGGCCCCACGGTGAGCGCCAATTGTTTGAGTCTGACTGAGTGTAGGAGGGAGACTTGGGGGGGGGGGGAGGGATAAATTTGGTGAGAAGAATAAGCAGTACGAACACTTAATCAGTTGGGAGGGTAACGACACCAAAGAAGGGGATTGAGAGAAGTTAGATCAGAGAGAGAAATTGATGTTTTTAGTGATAGTCTCCGAAAAATCCGATCCCCCCACCCACCGGAGTAAATGCTCTATTTATAACAATGTTGTCAGAACCGAACCGGAGCATGACCCGGTAATGCGAACGGCTCGCACTTTAGCGGTCCAACCGACATTAGACCGTTTAAAAATCGTTAGAGAACCGGTATCTAATAAACGTTATCAGTATAAATAGTGGACATTTCTTAATCAGAGCTCATCTCTTTCCTTCGAAATTGTGAAATGGAAATAAGGATTCAATTTGAGAGCCCGAAGTTTTTGGTTTATTTCAATTTTCTATAATTTTTTTAATTAAATTTAGTGGCTGAATGGCAAAAACCAGACGAGCGGCTCGATCGGCTCGAACGGTTAACCGCCTCGGCCGCTCGCCAACCACTACATAAAACCGGAGTGACTTTTAGACTGTTCCGAGCCGATTTTGTGACCGGGTGGTGGTTTTACCGGTCGGGCCGAGCGGCTCGGCTCGGCTTTAATAACACTGATTTATAGGAAACATTGCGGTGGGTGGATATTTAATGCGACATGACTACTACGTGTGTCAGATATTTAGGCCATGCCTTAGGCCATAATTATACCTAGGACTAGGATGTGACCGTTCCTTCAGAGGATACGACGTCGTTCTTCTCGGTTCTCTTTCCCAGTTCGAATTAAACGAAACGACACCGGCTTGGGTAGAGCGAAACGACGCCGGCTTGGGCAGAGCGAAACGATGCCGGCTTGGGTAGAGCGAAACGACACCGTTTGGCGTCTCTGATGCTCGCGGACGCGTCTCTACTCACGGAGCCCTATGTCGCGGTTTGGGTAGAGCAAAACAGCGCCGTCTAGTGCCTACGTCACTCGCGAACGCGTCGTTACTCGTGGAGCCCTATGTCGCGGGAGGTTCGCTGGGCCGTCTTACTTGCGCGACTGGACCCGAGCTATACCCCCAACAGAAACAAACCGTTGGGTTTAATTTTTTTGGTTGGGTTTGGATTTAATATTTCTCAAACCGTAGTGCATGAGTCGGGTAATTAAAATGGTTAAACCCGAACCACCCAATCCATAGAGTTTCCAGCCCTAGATTTGACAAGCTTGGATGTGACCGTCCCAAAACTCCGAAAGGGCATTGGGCGGTTTGGTTGGCATTGTCATTGAGAAACGTAGTCGGTTAAATAAAACTAAAAAGGTGTGCAAGGTTTTACCAAAACGACATCCAATGATCTTCTTTCTCAACCCCCGCTGTTAAAGTGTAAAAACGAAAGAAGCCGGGTTAAATTGAGTCCACGCCTTCCACACTCGAAATCTTAAATAGACCAAAGAGCAGCCAGAAAAGAAAAAAACGAAAAATCTCTGCACCTCACGCACTCTGCCCGAAGCTCCATTGTCGCTGCCATTCCAAAAAGAGGCAAAAGCTCTGTTCCTCCACCGCTGCCACCTCCAGCTCCTCCCCCACTCCCCCCACAAGAGATAGAGAGAGAGAGAGAAAGAAAAAGGCAAAGCTTTCATCTTTGCAATGAAAGAACCCAGAAAAAAGCTTGGAGCCAGAGCAGCCTAGTAAAATGGTGTCACTTTGAAGAGCTGCATAGCATAGCCCCCCTCACCCAAACCCAAACCAGAACAAAAACGAAACCCATTCATTCCCTTCCACGTTCTAAGCAACTCATCACACAGCGAGAAAAATGATGGAACAGAAGAGAGCAGAACAAACCAGTGTTTCTTTCCTCTCCTTTCTCTGATTCTTCTCCCTCCCCTGTTACTTGTTTCTAAACTACTCTGCCTCTCTCTACCCATCTCTCTGTTTTTGGGTTGGATCTGAGTGTGGGAGAGAGAAGGAAGGAGCAAAAATGGGTTGCTTTTACTCTCGGCTGGAGAGAGAGGAAATGGTGTCGAGATGCAAGTCCAGGAAGAGATACATGAAACAGCTGGTGGAAGCTCGACAAGCCATGGCTAATTCCCACGCAATGTACCTTCGCGCACTTCGCTCCACTGGAGCAGCCCTACTCACCTTCTCCAACATCGAAACCAATCTCCACCACCCCCACCTCCGCCCCAATTACAACCACCACCACCGCCACCAACCGGCGATCCCGTCCCCCTCGCCTCCTCTCCCGCCGCCGCCGCCTCCTCCAATGAGCCCCAGCTCCGACACCACCTGGACCTCGATCTCCGCTTCCCCTGCTCCGCCGCCGCCTCCGCCGCCGGTTCCTCAGTCTTCCAGCTGGGATTTCTGGGACCCTTTCGTCCCTCCCCCGCCGTCGGCCACTCGGTCGGGGACGACCATGGAGGAGGAATGGGAGGAGGTCACCACCATGACTGTCTCTGAAGCGGCGGTTACTGGCACGGCCAGCGCCAGCATTACGGCGCCGCCATCGATGATCAGCGGGTTGACGACGGCGAGCGGCAGCGGTAGTGAGCTGGCCATGGTGGTCTCGAGGAACAGTAAAGATCTGGTGGAGATTGTGAAGGAAGTGGATGAGTATTTCCTCAAAGCAGCTGATGGAGGAACCCAGCTCTCTCTGCTCCTCGAGCTCCCTACTTCTGGTTTCTCCGCTCAAAGCAGCAAAGGGGGTAATGAAAAATTGTCAAATTGAATGAAGCCCAACATCAAATAATCCTTTTTTCCCCCTCACATTGGTTGATGTAAAAATCAAATCTTTTACCCTTGTAAATTAATACATTTCGCAGGTAAAGTCTATAACTATGGCTGCAATTTGGCGAGTCCAGCTTCATGGACATGGAGTTCAAGCACCAAACTGAATGGGTTTGGGAAAATGGGAGACGAAATGTCCATTTGCAGCAACATTGGAGACGAGAAAAAAGGATTCAGCCATTGCTCTACCGTGGAGAGGCTGTATGCTTGGGAGAAGAAGCTATTCGAGGAGGTGAAGGTATACATACAGAGATCTGGAAACACACGAATAACCCACAGGGGTCCAGTTCTGTTTTTCTTGTGGCCAATTTGAGTATTATTAATTATTTTGGTCTTGGTTACAGAATGCTGAGAGTATAAAGTTTGAGCATGAGAAGAAAGTGGCATTGCTAAGGAAGCTGGAATTGAAGAGGGCTGATTATTTGAAGACTGAGAAAACAAAGAAGGAAGTTGAGAAACTGGAATCTCAAATGATGGTTGCTTCCCAGGCCATTGAATCCACCTCTACCGAGATCATCAAGTTGAGAGAGACTGAGCTCTACCCTCAGCTGCTTGAGCTGGTAAAAGGGTTAGTAGTACTACGTTCCCTTTCCTCTCCCCATTTCTTCTTGTCGTGCAGAAAACAGGTAGCTGCCATTACTCGTGTGATAGAAAGGGGAAAACTTATTTGATGGCACATTGAAGAGCCGAAAAGTAGAACATAACAACAGTGAAGTTAAAGAGGCATTAATAAGTTCTTCACGTGACTGGTGAGACTGTCGTCCCATCCAGTTTCCAAATCTTGATTCTAGGTGGTCCAAACGGCTTCCTCTGTTTGAATAGATCAGTTGTGACTTTTTTGGCCACCTTCAGCTTGTGCTGCTGAGTGCTGAGTCATCCCCATCCACTGAAAAGTGAAAGGCAATTGCCCTTCTGGCCCACAATATTATAGTACTACTGTTTCTTAAATAACCCAGATCTCAAATTACCATAAAGCAACCAACTTGATGGCTCTTCAAAGCCGTAGATGATTATTTTGTCTTCTTCTACCTAGTAACCGAGCTGTGCATTGCCCTGCAATTTGTTCAGTTTTCTTGGGTCAACCTCATTTGATCCTTAAGAGAGAGAGAGTGTCTGTGTGAGGCTGTGAGCGAGCTAGAAGAAAATGTAAGATCTGAATGAAGCAGAGTTTGAATGTCAAACCTTCTTTCTGGATTCTGTACAATAAGTTTGTTTCTCTATTGCAAAAAATTGGTGTTGGTCCTCCAGAATCCGTATGGAGTGATTTGTCGTGATATGGGAGAGAGAATCTGCTTTGTGGCTTGACAGAAATTGTACCACTCGCATTTTGCAGGCTGATGTGCATGTGGAGAGGCATGTACGAGTCCCACCAGGTCCAAACCCATATCGTACAACAGCTCAAATACCTCAACACAATTCCTTCCACTGAACCCACCTCTGAGATTCACAGGCAGGCAACCCTTCAGCTGGAGCTCCAAGTCCAACAATGGCACCAATCCTTCTGCAACTTAGTGAAGGCTCAGCGAGATTACATCCAGTCCCTTATGGGCTGGCTGAGGCTGAGCCTGTTCCAGTTCAGCAAAACCCCAATCTACTCCAGAACCACTCAGGAATCCAAGATTTACTCGCTCTGCGAGGAATGGCACCATGCGGTTGATCGGATCCCGGACAAAGTTGCTTCTGAAGGGGTCAAGAGCTTTCTGACTGTAATCCATGCAATTGTAGTTCAGCAAGCGGAAGAGCATAAGCAGAAAAAGAAGTTGGAATCTGCGTCCAAGGAGTTTGAGAGGAAGGCGGCAGAGCTTAGGTCGCTTGAGAACAAGTATGGATCATATTCAATCGCTGAAAGCTCAGTTACTAGTAGAAGCAAAGACCCGGTTGCAGATAAGAGAGCCAAAGTCGAGGTGTCGAGAGCCAAGGCGGAAGAAGAGAAGATGAAGCATGACAAGTCGGTGAGCATCACCAGGGCCATGACATTGAACAATCTACAAATGGGTTTCCCCCATGTGTTTCAGGCAATCGTCGGGTTTTCCAGCGTTTGTATGCATGCGTTCGAGTCAGTGTACAACCAAGCCAAAACCGGCGGCAACCCTCAGCATGAAGTGAAGAGAATAATGGGCTAGCCATACAAGATCAATCATGTTTAGGACAAGAGGAAGGCTTGGCCAATGCTCCTTGTAAATAGATAGGATAGACTTGACTGGGCAAAGGGATTGCTCCTATTTGGTGAACGGGATTGCATTCAGGAAGAAACGAGTAACTTGTGGAGATTTTGGAGTGATGAAGAAGATTAGAAGTTATGCAGCAATAGTTTGAGCTTTGAACCCAACTCTCTCTCTTTCTGGACAATTAGTTTCGTGTTTCTGAGTGTCAATATTTTTCGTTTGGCTAGTTTCTGTGCTATGTACAATTCTGACAACGCTCCTCCTTGATTATGTCAGTTTGGTAGTTGGTAATGTTAAGCTTCCTGTCTGGAAAAGTGGTGAACTGAAGCATATGATACAAAAAAACCTATTTGGATACATTCTTTCACACAGTCCTTTCAGATTCAAAATCCCAAACAAAAAAATGGGTAAATGTCATATTTGGTCACTGAGATTACTAAATTGTGTCATATTTAATCATTAGAAAAAATTTAATATCAATTTTGGTCACTCGAATTATTGAAACAGGTCACATTTGGTCACTCTCCCGTTAGTTTCCGTCCAACTTCATTAATGGAGTTGGACGGAAACTAACGAGAAAGTGACTAAATATGACATGTTTAAGTAATTCGAGTGACTAAATGTGATATGTTTCAGTAATTTGAGGTGCGTTCAAGCTCCGGATCCAACAGCAGTAAACCTCCCGACTGGCTACGGGTCATGCACTACCTGCACACAGTCAAGCAAGCAAATCCGTGAAGGCACAAGTGTGACAAAGCAAACAATGCTAAAACGAAAATCTAAATTAACAGAATTCACGTTTCTCCAACAACCTAGTTGTCCTCGGCAGCGGCACCAAAAACTTGACTCGCTCTTACCGTCACTCTAGAAAATGGCCAAGTGTAACCACTTCCTAAAGTGTAGTATAGCGGGTTTGGGTTTTAATGTCAACCCGGGTCCTAGATGTGATGACTACTCCGTGAGTTCTTATTATTTAGCAGTGAAACTTTAGTGAAGATCCAAACAAGCAAACAAGCAAAGCAAGTAAAAAGCTTGTTTTCAAGTCGAGAAATGTCACCCGGATATGGTTCCCCCTACACTGCAGTTAAGCCAGATTGTAATTTACCAAGTTCAGGTTCAATGATAGTTATACTGCGGGAGATTCTTAAACAGTCTGAAATCTCGACTAAAGGTCTCCAACCCTCTCAATCTGAGTCTCCAGCAGGCGACTAACCTCCACCGGGGTAAACAGATTGAGGCCCTAACGAACCAAACCTCCACTACCGAAATAAATTCGGTACAGAATAGTGAGTTGACTCCTCGACTAAAGTCGCCAATTCACTACCTTCAATCAAGGGTGCTCTATCAACCTAGGCAGATATTCTCTTTCTAGGTTAAAGCAGAAACAACAGGAATTTGATCAGGATTCATGCCATTCAACAAATCAGACATCAATTGAACATAATCATACCAATGAATCTATACTTGGGTTCATACAATCAGACCTAACATACAAATCTAGGGTTCTTCATACCCAGGGGAATAGGAAAACTACTCCATAGAGAGAGATGAGAAATCTAGCTCAGATGCGGAAACCATACTGTGAAGGATGATAATCTGCTTCTGGCACTCAATCAGGTCTTCTCCAAGCTCAAGCCGGGCTCCATTGGCGATGGAGATCGATCTATGACACTTGCAGAGTCAGGTTCGTCACTTTCTCTCTCTAGCTATCGCTCTTTCTCTCTAAAACTGTGAACTCTTCACTTTTGGCCTTCTTTTCCCTTAAGAAGTTGTCTGTCGCGATCCCCGGCCTGAATACCCAGTTCGGGTATTTTGGGTGGCGACCGGGTATATTCAAAACGCCGCGTTTGAAGACAGGGGAAAATCCCCGGTCAATGCCAAGAATTCCCGACCGGGGATTTCTGCTCTCTGCCCGGGCCCCCTTCTGCTTCTCAGAGACGCCCGAAGCAACAAATCCCCGATCTGCTCCAAATAATACCCGGCCGGGTATTTCTGCTCATGGCCGGGTATTTTTCTCCTCCAGCACACTTCACCCCAAACGTGCTCCTTTCGACCCGAAACTTGTTTCTTCGCCTCGATGCCAAAGCTAAGCCCTGAAATATGACATAAACGCACAACCTAGCGTGAAATCAGGTTAAAACACGAGAATCAACATCTCAAACGGCTCAAGAATAGGGGTCAAAACATGTGTAATCAATGGTCTATCAATACCTTTACCTTTTTCGAAAGGCAATGGGAAGAGACATGCCTAAAACAACAATGATTTACGTTTCACACAGCGCACGATTCCATGGATAGTTTCATTCGACATCGTGATGGAGGATCATACTTTCCAGGTCTGCCTCAGCCAAAGAGGTCAGTTCCTAGGACCTAAAATATGACAAAAGAACACAACCTAGCATAAAAAAGGCTAAGGAGAATACAAATCAAGCCAAAACGATCAAGAAATGAGGGTGTAAACATGGTGTTATCATTTAAGTGATATTCTAATGGTTTATCCATGTTTAATTGCATGTGGTATTGATCTTGAGTCTTGACCTATAATAGATGACCATTCATCTACAGTAGGGGCTTACTCAATTCATGTAAAAATTTAAATGATTACATGAACATTGAGTTATTTGAATTGTATGCTTACTGATTAAACTCGTTTAATGACATTAGGTTATCTCCCATCTATAGTGGTCAATTACACGACCATTGGGTTTATCTTCCATATCTAGGAGGGAAATTGGGTGCATGACCATCGACCTAATTGCTTCATTAGTGATCCTAGCACTTTGAATCACTTTAATTGAACCATTAATTTTCCATCACAAGTCAATTTCCAATATTCTAGGAAGACGATCAATCTCCAAATACTATTTCTTTAACGTGAAGCTTGTTTTCGTCTATATAACAATCCATCTTTCGAGTTCCAATAGGCTTTCATACCCAGGGATACAACATCGGTCAACCACTAGTCTATCTCGTCAAGTTGGGTTATACCTGGTCTAGCTAAGTGTATTAGTTATACCTCGTGTGATGAGTCAAAATTCAACGTGACTAAACAAATAATTGCACAAACAACACAAGTTGCCTCACCACCATACTTATTTTCCCCTCTTTCCCTCTCACCCACCCCTCCTCCTCCGATGGATGGATGGATTGATCTGTGATCTAAAGAATACAATTGCCAGTAACCTTTTTTTACTACCACTACCGTGCATCTCAGCCCATATGCCACTCCTGAAAATTAGTTTCCCTTCTCAACCAAGTTTCTTTATCATGCCTCTCTATCTATGGTCTCGCCCCCTCTTCTCTATTTATCTCTCTACCTATAAGTGTATGCTTGAGGGCTAATCTCTCTAGAAATATTCTAAGTCTTATGCCATTGTGGTATGTGATCTATGGTCATTTTTTTGTTGAGGATTCAGAGTGATATTTTTTTTGTTAAGTCGATTGATTCATTGTAGTTAATCATATCCATAAATTTCTCTAATGGGCTGTGATTGGACCGAAGCAACCGAGGAAGTGCAAGAGACAAATGATAGACCCTCCAAGAGATAGGGGACATGAAAGAGTGTGGGACTAAATGGCAAAACTATAATATAATGAAAGGTAACGAGTATTTTTTAGTTTTTTTTTTTAGAACTAGTTTTGACTTTTTAGATAGATTTCAGCACCAAAATCTTTTTCAAGTTGAAACCAACCTTTTACATATATATCTACAATAATAATGTTTAAAATCCTTCTCTTTTCCATGATTTCTTATAGATTTCACTTCCTCCGTTCTTATTCCTTTCCCGATGAGAAGACTGCTTGCTATACTTTTTTCTTCATTCCATCTTAAGTTCATCATCCCAATTCTTAATCATTATAAAGAGAGAGAGAAAAAAAAACCGTGTTCAAAATGAACAAGCCAAAATTGAAAGGAGAGCACCAAAAATGCATAATAGTAACTGGTAAAGCAAAACAAGTGGAAGCTATATTTCTTACAAGAAAGGGAAGATACATTGGATAAGAAGTAATTCATGTTGAAAGAAAAACTTTTTTTTTTGTCTGACTTCCTAATACAATGAAAATCTTGTAATGTTCTATCAATGTAATAAAAAAGAAAAGAGAAGAAAAATATAACAAGGTCACATAAGGAAATTTGAGTAGCTAAAAAAAAATAAAGATGTAGCCCAAAAATTAGAGATGAAATTGAGAGATCGAAAGATGAAAATCACTTGATATTACTGCCAGGCAATAGCTGAACAATTGGAGACCCATCTAAGCAAGAAAATCTTGAGAAAGTTATGACGATGATGATGAAAATATGATAGCAAAACCACCTATGCTTCATGGAGACCTCCCTCAATAGCTCCAATTTATCGCTGTTAAATAAAACAAGGACAAAGAGTAAAAAGTTGGGGCTTCTTGGTAATGAAGGGTAGGGGAAAGAAAGGAAAATTTTCCAATTCAAAACAACTCTTCACAAACATTACTTATTTCCAATCACAATATGGAACAAGCTTTCTGCGCTTTGCTCTTTTTTTTCTTCTGCTTTGGTGGTTGAAGCACAACCCTAATTGCCGCGTCAAAAACTGCCTTCACATTCTGCATGGATCCATTACCAATATCGATGAGACTAAATTAACCACCCGCCACAATTGCAGAAATGGGCTTAAATTAACCATCCTCTAAATAAATTAGGGCTCCCCTCAGAGAAAACGGGCTTTTACCTCTTGTGTTTTGGAGCTGCACTCAATATAAGCAGGCGCACCAATCAACTTCCTTAGTTCCTCACCCTATTGAAAACAATGTCAAGGAACCCGAGAATGCATGGTTTCAGAATGCATGGTTAAAGTGCTCCAAGATTTCAAATAATTGTAATAATATTCCCTTGAATGGACATATAGTTACTAGCCTGAGCTGTAGAAATCGGGACAGCACCAGGATGATCAATGAAGAACTGCTTGTCATCTCGGAGATCTGCTTAAATGAAAATCATGTAAACAAAATGAAATATGCATATCTAAGCATAAGTGTGAAGAAACCAATTTATAAATGCAGGTGCCATTCATACAAAACAACTGCACCATTTATTTTCAACTCATTTGTGGGTGGAAAACTAGGTTGATTGAATAAGCTACCAACTATTATAAAGTGGATGGCTAGAACATAAAATAAGTGAAATCCATATCAATCATAACACTCAATGTAATTCAACCAAATAATAATAATAATAATAATAATAATACTCAATGTAGGATTTTTGTGGTGATGGTTGTTCACCCTCTCTTAGTTGTGAAGGATCACATAGTGACACGTGCCTTAACTAATAAGTTCCAAGAAAAAAAATTGTCACGCAAAAGCTACCAAAGATTGCACGACAAAAGGATAACTTTAAGAAAAGTGGCTACGAGAAACCTACTCTACATCTCTCATCATGACTAAATTTTCTACCATATTTGCCCAAAATTAGCTATTATATCAGTCCTCTATGGGTTCTATAACTTTTCTGTCGGGTCATACTCCAAATCAGAGTAGGAAGTGAGAAAGTAAAATTAATGGTTATTTACATATTGGCTTCTCTAATATGAAACGAGCAACTTCAAATAGATTTATTGTTCCTATCCCAACAATTTTACCTAATAAATTGATAAGTAGCACATTCAATACAAATCGAAATTAAAAAGACACATGCATAAGCAACCAATGGTTATTTCATTCAACAAATGGAACCAGAATGAGCAAATGGAGTAGATTCCAATTACAAGTCGTCCTCAAACCCATATAAAGTTACTAAATCAATTAATTCCAAGGATATAGAGTATAAAGAATGATCAAAGCATCCACATAAGTGGTGGATGAATATATATTAAAGAACAATAATAGAGATCATTTACCAAGCTTCGTTCCCACTAGAACAATGGGGACGCCTGGTGCATAATGTTTCAACTCTGGAATCCACTGAAAGTGACGACATGAAAGAGAATTGTCACCAATATACCCACATATAAAGCAATGTATGAAAAAATATCTCCAAGACAATAGTACAATTGTCTCGCAAACCTTTTTGGAAACATTTTCATAACTAGCCTTGCTAATGAGAGAGAAAGCCAGGATGAAAACATCTGCTCCACGGTAGCTCAAAGGTCTTAACCTATTATAATCCTCTTGCCCTGAAACACGTAATTTAATTTAGATTTTCTTTGGTTATAGTCCTTGTTGTATTCCCTAATGTTCATAAAATGCAACATCAATGGCACAAATAAATAAAATATAAAAAATAATCAAGATGAAGATAAATTACCAGCAGTATCCCACAAACCCAAGTTGACAGTTGCACCATTGACAACCACATTTGCACTGAAATTGTCAAATACAGTAGGCACATAATCCTGCGAGCCAAGATAACAAAATAATCCATTGTTATTACATGTAAAAATTTCATCATCCACTTCATTATTCATGACATATCGAGGAAAACCATACAAATATCACTTTGTTGTCATGGACTTAAAAATATTCATTATTCATAACTTAAATGATATCACACGCGCAAGGAACATTAAAAAAAGACAATTGAACGCACGAGGGAAGAAAGAGTACGCGGAAAAATTGGGAAGGAGGCAAACCAATAATAATTACTGTACCGTGGGGAAAGTGTTGCTGGTGTAAGAAATCAACAGACATGTTTTACCAACAGCACCATCGCCGACAGTGACACACTTGATGAACCTTGAAGCGCTCATCTCTACTTATTATTCCCTCTCTTTCTCCCTTCAACTTTTGAACCTCTTTCCTTCCCTTCAGCTTAATGATGAATACAAATTGGAACCCAAAATAAAATACTAATGAAAAAACTGAAGCCTCAGATCTTCGCCTGAGGACCCTCCTCCTTATCACACACAATAGGGTTGTGAGCCAACACCACTGCTACCACAGTCACTAACAATACTTCCACCTCAAGAATCCATCCCTTCATCAAGAAGAAATCGAGGGGAAATGAATTTTTTTATTCAATCAAATGGGGAAATGAAAACCATAACCAGGGTAGTGGTGTGAATTTTGGGATGCAAATTGGGAACAGAATTAAACAAAACGAAACGAAACAATGAAAGAAAGAATAAGAGAAGGATGGGAGAGGAAAATATGGTGGAGGGAAATTCGGGAAGGTGGGAGAAAAGAGATGGGTGTGTGAGGGAGGGAGAAGACAGTTTGGTTGGATGGTGGGTGCTTGTGTTACCCTGTCCGAAAAGTTTTGCGATTGAAGCGTTCGTTGAACCAACAATTATTTGCCAACTAATCCTTTCATTTCCCGATTCTTTCTCATCATTTCTTTCTTCAAAATAATGTTCTTCAACATTCTTCACTTATTAATAATTCAACTCTCCTACATTGCTTGTACTTTTATAGCGTAAAGCTCGGAAGAAAGAACACATATGGCTTAGTTCAGAAAAATATATATATGAATTGGTGGCCGAGGAAGACCCTCCTATACCATTTTATTACTATCCTCGAGCTTGATTCAACCCTTATAGCCCAACTCCTTCTTTAGCCTCAAGGGGTTAACACATACTACAAGAAAAATGCTCATGAACAACGAAATAATCCATAATTTGTGAGTGAATTCTGTCGTTGATAATCATTAAAGGCTCATTAACAGAGGAAAAATCCCTCCATGTACATAATATGAAGAATCAATCCTAAAGTATCATGAAAAGGTTAATAAGAAAGAAGCATCTGAAAGAAATAAAGATGTGGACAACCAAGCTATTTAAATAGAGGGTGACTCTTAGTTTGTCTATATTTGAATGGATGATGATCTCTTTTTAGTGAAATTAAATTACGGCAAGTTTTTCCATAAAAAACGGCAAGTGTACCTGTTGCAATGTCATATCCCATGAAGACAATGAATACTAGTAATTAGCTCTACTTCTATTATACAACAAGTACTTTCAACATAATTTGACTACGAAGCAACTTATAAAGCAAATGACTAAAGTGCAATTTCACGAGAGAAAGTTAAAGTAGAGAAGTGTTGATCATATTCCAAAACCCTAACTAGCAACCAAAGCATTGACGAAACATTCTTTTTAAGGTGTAGGAATTCTCAATTAATGTTAACCTAATATTATCATATATTAACATACTGTTAACCAATCATTTGGAATCGCTTATCACATTGAACGATTGAAGAATTTTCATATTAAGTTTCTCCCTAATTTGGAGGTCCTTCGCAGTTTTTTATTTTAACAACTCGATCAGTCCCAATTTTTTAACGTGTTGGTAAGATCAAAATCTAGCCATGTTGTTATCTTTTCAGATAGGGCGAAAGGGAAGAGGATCAGCCTAATCACATTAATGTTGGCTTCTCTCACCTTCCAATGAATCACATATATGTAGAAATGTCTGCACATGTTGCATGTGATTATTGTCATCCCTTCCGCGAAATTGTCCCTCTTGTTGTATCATTTAAATTAGGGGAGTGCATTTCTCTATGGTGGTGGAAGGGGAGCGCTATATGCAATTTTATAGGCTTTGGATCGCATTGATTCAAAGGGTTTAGGCACACCCAAACCACTATCTTAGCTAGCTGCTCTAATATCTTTTGGATCTTTTCGCCATTCCTAATGAGAACTAGACTAATAAACCAAAATATGGAAGAATAAGTACAACACACCAGGTGAAGGCAAGTGGGGTATCGAAATGCATAATGGTGTAAGATGCTAAGGTAGAATGATACACAAGTAGTAGTAGATCTTTTCAAGCATGATCAAAGGATTCAAGCACGTTTATTGCCTTGGTGATTGATAACACCTAAATAGTGTTATTTACCCTTCATATTAAGGGTTGTTTCATGCCAATTTATGTGCACAAATGCTTAAATAGCCTCAATTGCATCCCTATTTCGTTCCTATTTGATTATGATGTGATTTTAGAGTGTTTTAGACAATACATGCGAATTAGGTACAAAAATGAGCACAAGACAGAATAAATAGTAAAGGAAGAAACTGTCTCGTATGAAGAAGGAGGGCCAAAAGAGCTACTTTCACTCTTTATCGCGGGAAGGCGGAGTTATGGAGAAAGGCTGAAGATCACGGTCTAGAGAAGGAAGATCGCGAGCAGGAACAGAGGACGAGAAGAAAGAGCTAAGATCACGGCCTCCAGCCTAAAATCGCGACCGCGATCTATGGAGTGATGGGCACAAACTTGGAGAGGCAGCCAACGAAGGAGAAATATAGAGTTTCCCCAGTTGAGTCACAACCACTGTCCTGTGAGCCCGCAAGGAAGTTCACGGTCACGACATCAAGGATTGTGACCAAGATGTTAGGCTGCGAATTCCGAGTTTTCAACACGTAAATGTGCTTACCAGAGATCGTGGTCTCGTCTCACAAGTTCACGACCGCGAACTTTAGCCCCTTGACCATGAACGTGTCCGTGTTTCCAGGATTCTATAAATAGGAGACCCCTTTCCCCTTTGAGTTGAGCTAATTTTGAGAGAATTTTCTGGTTTTAGAGAGAGAGAATAGAGAGAAGATGAAGGAAGGAGAAGGAGTTAGAAGAGAGGGACAATCTTCCTCAACCCAAGTCTTCTTTAATTTCTTCTACGTTTCTTCTTCCCTCCTTAATGGAGTAGTCCTCTAAGGTACTAGGAGTTCTAAACCCCAAACCCTAGTTTTAGGTTTATTATGTATGTATGTATGTATGAATATTTACCCTGTGTTCTTTAAGCGAGGAAAAGAAGGGGAGGGAAAATTGAGGAGAGAAAGTGGGAGGCCCTAGGCACTTTCCTCCGTTCCCGAAAATCTGTACAGTTGCAAGGAGAGGAAAAGGAAAAGGAAATACCACTGTTTAATCCAACCCTCCAAAATGGAAAGAAAGTGGGATACAGCCTTGTTTCTCTCTCCTCTCTTCACTCTCCTCTTTTTTCTTCTTTCCTTCTGGGATAACAGCAGCCCAACAAAGCCCCTGTTTCTCTACACCACGTTGGATGTATAATGGTAAGGCAAAAAAAATGGTAATTTATGTCACATATAATATTAATTTACACAATACATACATTTCACGTAATTATGGCTAATTATGCAGTCATCTGATTTCATTTTTGTTACAAAAACTTTACACGGTACCTATAATTATACTTGTGTATGTGTAGTGTGATTTGTTATATTTTTATGTTTTTAGTTGCTATGTTGATGTATCAATAAAATAGTGAACAAAATTTTAACAATAGGTTAACACAAAAATTTCAAACCATCTATTTTTTATTTTTAATTCATAACCAATGAAAATAATATTAACTTATAACCAAATTATTTTATTATTATATACCCAATAAAAACGATATCAGAGAGTGAAATTTTTACAAAATGGATGCCATTTTGTATAGTCAAGCTAATCTCAATTTATATGGGAAATTTTTAAAATTGACGGGCCCGCATGAGTCACACAAAACGTTATTTTACACAATTACGTAGAATATAAATGTGTGTTAAGTTTCAAGTAAAACGACATCAGAGTGTTACATTTTTTATAGAATGGACGTCATCTTTTACTACAAGAAAATCAAATTTGTATGAAAAAATAAAATCGAGTTAAATGAACAATTTATGTTCCGTTAACAAATAATAAAAATGATCATGGTTATGTAGAAATTGGTTATTCATAATATTCATTTTCGTATTTTTTGCATATACTTACTATTACATAAATAACATATCTATCACAATTTCCTATATACTTTTCCCCTCCCACTATCCCTTTCACTTTCCCCCATAAAACAACATTTTCTCTCCAATTCCCTTACCCTTCTATTTTCCTTCACCTCCAAAATTTCCCTCCCCTCCCCTCCTTTTCCTCCCCTACTTCGGAAACAGGGGGTTAGGGTTTGAATCAATGTTGTCAGAACCGAACTGGAGTATGACCCGGAAACGTGAACGGCTCGGTCTTTAGTGGACCAGCCGACATTAGACAGTTTAAAAACCGTTTGAGAACCGGTACCTAATAAACAGTCATCTGTATAAATAGTGGACACTTCTTAATCATGGTAAATCACAAGTAAATTACTCTCTTAAACAATTCTAGAACATCAGCCCACAAAAACAAACTTCTTTAAGACTTCCATACAACTTTCCAACAATTGCACTTAGTAACCATTATTTAAAAATGCAAATGAATGCTCACAACTTTGATCTCAGACTGCACTCTGCAGCCTCCATGGCTTAGGTTGTATGCAACTTAAATAATAGAGAAAGATCTAACAAATAGTCCATGTTTTACACAATTATATAGGGGGTAATCGATCGGAAAATGCAGGGGCTTAGTTATTGATGATGCCAACTTCCCGCCTAGGAACCTTCAGCCGCGTGATTGGAAAATGCAGGGGGTAATCAATCTGACGACAGATGCAGCGGCGTTGAGATCGAGTAGCTCGCACGCGGGCGGAGTAGTAATGGTAATGGAGAACGGGGAAGGGAAGGGAGACCTCACCGGGGCACTCGCCGGCAGGGGCTCGCCCAATCGGAGGGAAATGGCGACGGGGAACGGTGCTGGGGAAGATGGCGACGGCGACGGGTCTGGGGAAGATGGCGACGGCGCTGGGGAAGCTGAAGTGCAGTCTAGATGCGACGGCGACGGCGCTGGGGAAGCTGAAGTGCAGTCTAGATGCGACGGCGACGACGCTGGGGAAGATGGCGACAACGCTGGGGAAGATGGCGATGGGATTTGGAGTTCGAAAGTGGCGCTTCCTTGTCTCCAGACTCTCCACGAAGAAGAAGATGGAGAATTAAAATTGGGAATTAGGGTTCTGTAGACAGCCCGACCCCGACCCACCTTCCCCTTTAATTTTCGATCTTTTGGTTTTTAATTTTTTTTAATTAAATCAACCGGCCGAATGTAAAAAACCGGACGACCGGTTCGAGCGGTTAACCGCTTCGGCCGCTCGCCGACCGCCCCAGAGAACCAGTCCGAATAAATAGCTGATCCGAGCCTGTTTTGTGCCCGGTTGGCGGTTTTGGCGGCCCGGCCGGCCGGCTCGGCTTTCACAACACTGGTTTGAATGGATGTGTTTATCTAGTTGATTCTATTGCTATTCTGTCTTTGATTATGTTTGGGTAAGTCGCCCTAATCTTTATGCTTCTACCATGGGTATGGATTTTTAGGGTTAAACAGGTATGTGACATCAAACAAATCAAGATAGATGTATGAATAGGGACCTATGGTGGTCGAGGAGACCGAACCCCTGCTGTAGGTTAGCCTTCCTAGATAGAACCCAGGATAAACCTCGGTGTGTACGGTGGATAGTGTCCATTGCAATGAGCCATAAGCTTAATGCCCCGTATACGATAGTGTAGATCGAGGTGACTATATATGGGTTTAGGGGAGGCTTACTCGGAGGCGTGTGGAAAGCCCACGGAAAAGAGCTCACTCACCATATTCGATAATCCTAAGTATTTATGCATGCATAGGGGGTATGATTAGTTCCTCGAAGTACCTACTTTTAGCTTTGATCAATCTCTACTCTAGTTATTTCCTCAACTCCTCCACTCAACCCTCCAAAACCAATTAACTAATTACCACATAATTCATGCAGGTTGAGCCAAAAAATGTGCCTCGGCTGCCAATTTTGGAGAGTCCCAGATCAACCCGGATTTGAGAGAATATGCCATACTTGGAGGCTAAGCTCTAGATAAACCTATAAGATTTGGCTAATGGAGTTTTACCCTACTTTATCTCTCAAAAAATATGATAGAAGAGCTTATAAATAAACCCCTTTTGATAGTACATGACAATGCAACTCTCCAAACTACAAAATTGGCCAAAACTCAAGGGCAAATCAGCAGCAGAATTGGTTTCCTAGGCACCAGATTTCCTTCTAGGCCACCGATTTAGGAATGTTTTGGGAGTCTTGTCTTTGACTGATATTCTCAATGGTATTGTTCCCACGAGCATCTAATTTGTTAGTTAATTAGGCTTGCGAGCCCTTGGTCGTAAAAAACCACACTCCTTACAAAGGCTAATTGTAACCAATGAAAGATACTGTAGTATAGTGGCACAAGTAATAAAATATCGAATCCACATATCTCTATATTTGTATATTTAGGTTCAATTTATGATTTATCATAACAAATTCAAAGTAAACAACTAAACTACTCTATACAAATTGTACTAAAGTTAGACTATTAATTATAGGTAGGAACTCACTCTTGTATTGATTCCCGCAAGCCGCTAGTCGTATTAATTATTGATGATTCTCTAACTTGTTTCACTCTTCATTCATAATGCGAAAACTCATTTACTAAGCCTTAAATCTAGATTAAAGCAATTAAGGCTCTCACTCAATACAAAGAAGAGAATTGACTCACTCTCGCACAATCGATCCACTACTTCCAATTTATGATGCTCTCTTGACATAATAAGGTATTCTCTATCATAGAATCAAAACATAATAAAAAAACCTCAATTATATCATAATTGAACATTAATCATGTATATATTGTATACGATTTCAAGATTAACATGAAAGAGTACTCATACAATCATCCAATCAAACAAAACATGTCTAGAGTTCCTCAAAACCTAAGTGAAGGGAAGTTACTCCATATAGAAGAGAGAGAATGCAAAATTCTGATCTAGATATTCAATCTCCATATCCAAACTTGATTACCAACCTCCAATGATAAGAAATCCTCCAAAACAGCTCCCAAAATGATCTCAAGTTGCTTTCACTCTCTAGGGTTCGTCCCTTGGGTGTTTGGGATTCAAAAACCAGTTCTCCCTCTTCAGAATTCACAAAAATGCATTATACACACAACGCAGGCCATGTCACGACCTCATGTCATGAATGTGACGTTGAGGGTTCAAACCATGACCTTGGTAAGTGGTTTTGCCTCCCATGCCTCAATGTCACGAGGTAGATGTGAAATTTATTTCCCAACATGTGACATTTCCCTTCGGAGAGTGAATTTTAAAATGGCTTAGCTTTTTGGTCTCATGTCTTTCCCTGGTTGTAAATGTTACTCATTGGCCCGTGACACTTAGCCCGTGACTTTGGGTCTGCCTGCACTTTTTGGCTCGTTTTGACCTCCAAATGTCTTGAAACTCTCTCCTAACCTTCCTCCACATGCTAGGACCTGAGATAGAGCAAAAATAACACAACCTAGTGCAGAATGGGCCAAGGATAGGGCATGTCCAAGAAAAATGATCAAGAAACAAACAAGGAATATAAGTCCTTGAGGTTCTTTAGTCTTTATAACTATTGATTCCACTTCTCTCCTTCCCATCCACCATTCCACTCTCTCTCCCTGCAAATCAATCGTTTCCCCTTCCTCTCTCTCTCAAATAGAAGATCTAGAGATCCGCTCTCTTTCTCTTCCACTTCCAGTCTTCCTTCAAATTTATCGTTGATCCCATCACCATCTCTTGCTACGATTGGACAACAAAGATAGAGCAAGAAAGGAGAACGTGCGCTTGGCAGCATGCAGTTTCCCTAGTCTCCCAGTCGTCCTCCTCCCACTTCGTCAGACGTCGCTCGTCGTCCTCAACCTCTTTCCCCTGCCATCGTTTGCCGTCCTCGATCTCCTATCTTCCTCTATGTGCCTCCGGCGACGGATTCAGATCTAGATCCTCCTCTCATGCTCTCTCCCCTTCCTCCCTCATCTACCTCGATTCGCGGCGGACTCAGATCCGATTTCCGGTGACATGCATATCGATGGCAGTGGTCGAAGTTTGTGTGTGTCGGTCTCTGAGCAACCGCCGCTTGAAACCGATGCGATTATCGGCTAACCGATAGTGCTGTCGGTCTCGGATGCGGTTGGCGGTCGTGGGATCAATTCAGTGATGGTTAACCGATAGTGCGGTTCTGTTAAATCGAAACCGCACCGATTATCAGCCCTAAGTGGGAGTACGTTCGTAAGAAAGAGCGCATGACCCTGCGAATTATCCCCTTGAAATATGTATTTTCACGATCTGCCTGATGGAGATACCGTGACAAATATTATAGCCTCTAAACTTAGTTTTGGAAACTATGGTTTTGTATTTCATATCTAGCTATAGAGACGCAAACATTTGAGTTTAAAATTATTTTTAGAGGTGGATGATTTTGTCACAAATATTAGTTGTTGCAACAAATAATTCTTTATATAGGGAAATATTTTTGTCTCAAATATTATTTATGGAAACAGATAACATTGTTTGTTATATGATTATTTTGTGACTATTACTCATGTTGTTTCTCTGAGGCACACTACAAATCCCATAAAGTATAAAGACCCATGAAAAAGTAAACTACACCAGAAACACAAGAAAGGAATCAATAAATCACATAAATCACACCATAAGTGACCAGTGAGCGGATTTTGGCGACTGAAAACGAAATATTTATAAATAAAATAATAGAAATTTGGTTCATTTAGTCTATTTTTCTCATGAATTTTTTCCTTATTAATAGCTTAATCTAAATGACTATTACGATAAATAATAGTCAACCTAGTTCAAATAACAAATTTATCGGGTTAATAGCATAAAAGGTCACTTACGTTTGGAGCTACTAACAAAATGGTCACCGGCATGCTCCTTTCCAATTAAAACTCCCAATACTCACCACTGATATATCCATCTGCCCAGCTTCACCTTCCACTTCACCAAACACTGACAACCAGCTTCAGCGGCTGCGCTATCCATCTTGGAGACTAGCCAGTTCTTGATGCAGAGCTACTGCCTAGGTTCTTTTTTCATTGGGTTTGAGAGAGAATCACTCCATAAAACATCAGATCTTGATCTCTGCAAGAACGCCGACGAGATATGCTATGCTCTTTCCATATCTTCATTTAGGTTTGAGCTGATCGAGCGAAGTTTGAACCCGATCCACATATGGATCCGAAGCAAGTGAAGTAGCAATTCGAAAGAAACTAATTCTTGTGGCAAAATTAGCAGTACCCAAGATTTGAAAATCCTTCCCCCCCCCCCCCCCCCCCCCCTCTCACTGGATCTGCTCAATTGACCGCCTACAAGATAGAGAAAGTTGACGAGAAGAAGGAAAGGTGGACTGCGATTCTTAGAATTTGTCGCCCGAAGAAAGTTTTGTAATTATTTGGATTGTTGGCGACGAAGAAACCAACGACGACAGCGCACGGTGAAGATTATTTGGGAGAGTTGACAGGAAGAGCCACGGTTGGTGCCTTGGCGGCGGTGAGAGGAAGGAAGAGAGATAAAATCGATTTGGGTATAAGATTCCGCCAGTTTGGGTCCAGTTGTGGGTTTGATTCAATTTGCATCATATATTTTTGTATATATTTAACTGACATGGCAAGCTGATGTGTTAATATGAACAGAGATATGGATGGAGTTAGAGAAATGACAATTTGATTAGTTAATGGAAACATAAGTTACTAACTCGTTAAAAATCAAACATAGGTTACCATTTCGTTAATAACCCCAAATGTAAGTGACATTTTATGCTATTGACCCAAAATTTATCAAAATTTATTTCTTCTTTTTTTTTTTTTTTTTTATTTCCGAGGGATATCAAGAAAGAACAAGAGTTATACATACAAATCTACCCAGGACCCCTTACAATCGAAACCCTAAAGAAGCCACCCAACAAAGTCGAAAGAATCTAACTCTAGACGAGACAAAAACAATGCTTTATGCACCACTCTATAGGCAGCACTGTTGGCAGTTCTAGGAACTTCCCTAAGCTCTACACAATCTAACAAAGAGACTAGGATCTAACGACACTCCCAGAGTATTAGACCACCAAATGAATCTTCTAGGATGCATTGGCGGACTTGATTGACGACCACTTCGGAGTCACCTTCCACTATCACATGAGACGAGGATCTTAAGGCAACGATGTTGATAGCGTCTCAAATGGCTAGGAGCTCTTCCAGGTAGGGGTTGTCTACTCCTTGAGGACCCAAACCGGATGCTAGCACCACATGCCCGTCTGACCCACAAACAACAAGACCAGGCGAACACCCTGATCACAAACAACTACGTCAAAGTTGATATTCAAATAGTCATCTGACGGAGGGACCTAAGAGGCGAGAGGAGGTTTTGGTAGGAGAGATCTGTGGGGCGGAGGAGGGGGGAGGAGATTGAAAACTTCAAGGACCTAGTTGTAGAATTGTCTGGCTAGGAAAACAGACATGAGGTTGGTAGAATTCAAAGTCACTTTATTTCTAGACTTCCAGATTCTCCAAAGTAAGCAGACGCATTGGTGAATGTGGAATGGGGAGGTCTCAGAAACCATGACATGTCGTCATCATAGACTAAAGTTAACAGTCGGGGCGGAACCAATGAAGTTGATCAATCCCACTAACGTCCATAACTTGGTGGCTAGGGGGCATATGAAGAATAAGTATTCAATACTCTCTTGATGTCTCAGTAGAGAGGGCATCGATTGATAGATATCTTTATAAAGGAGGTATTGCAGGGGGTGAAGCAATGGGGACACCAGAAGGTTATTTGGGATGAATGAGAGTGAGTGAAAGCTCTTATCTTTGGTAGGAAATATAAGGGTTGGCTCGTAGAGAGGTAGGATTCAATGGTGACTGAAACCATGGCAAGAATCTCTCCATGATTAACCCAAATAATCAACTTTTTGTAACGGTAAGATAATGATAGAGCATTAATTTGGGGATGGAAAATCTACTTGAATCATTCCGGATGAGCTCTAATTTGAAAATGCTACAAGTAGTGGATGGGA